ACGATTTTCTTTTTAAACTTACATTTCACGTATTTGTTTGGATCCCGCTGCAGTTCGGACAAATGAACGCTGTCACGCGACAACATTTCCAAGATTCAACTCTCCTTAGCAGATGGTAATTTCGGGTTATTCTCTTTTTCTGCGAATCTTTCATTTTCCTTTCTCTTTTAACTCTATATACTTCTATTTAGGATGGTTTTGAGCGCCTAGCAAGGCTTAAAGTGGCGTTTACCACGCTACCCTTGGCCATATTGGCAACAGAGAAGCGTTTCGCCGAAGTGGCAACTTAACGGTAAATAAGGTAACTTTGAACGGTTTTTACAACGTCAGAATACTTTGGCCGAAAAATGTTTTTCCAGAATCGTAATGTATATCCCTCCAATGTCTGATTCATCACTATGATTGCTTTCAACAGCGTTGGACTTTTGAGAAATAATTATTTTAAAATCAGCTCCAACGCTCCATCTAATTTAATATGCAATATTTGAAAAGTTATTTTTTATTCCCTTCGGCAGTTTTTCGATGTTTATCGAATGATATTGCATTAAAAGGCCTTTTTCTTCATCACTGTGTGGTTTTCTCGTTGTTTTGTGTTGCGATAGTGATTTCTGAACCGTTTTTTGCGAGAGCTTATTTTAGGCCTGATTTTGCTGCTATCAGACGGAAAAAGTTTGCGGCTCGATATTTTTGGTTTAAAGCGAAACTAGAACAAAAAAAAAAACATTTTTGAATAGTATTCGGTAACCTCTACTTGGGAGATAAAAATCGGCCGATTTTATTTTTTAGCCGGAAATCATCGGTCGTTTCTTAGGCGCAGGGCCTCTTAATGTCGAATGATTTCCGTAGAACGGCTGTTCTGACAAAAATATGATTTGTAAACTAAAGCTTCTCTCCTAAGAATTCTACTGAAAAAAATTGAGTGCGTTACATGCACGAGAAGACCTAGAACCACTTTTTTAAATTGTCGATACATTTGTCTGTAAGAAAGTCCCGGGAAAATTACAGACAAATATATGGAAAATCTAAAGCAAGCCTCTGGAGAAATCTAAATCCTTTGCTTTGTAGCTTTAGTCTACAATTGACGTTTTTTTGAGAACAGCCGTTTTACGGAAATTATTCGACATTAAATTCTCATACAAACACTTTAATTTCTCACACGTTTGCCTACTCGTCAAGATGGCGTCGAAAACCGTGACGAGGTTTATCACTCCGGGGATATACTCAGTCGTAAGACACCGTAGAAAAAGAAAACATTCAGCAAAACACGCGGAATTTTATCCATGTCGAACCTAATCGAACTCAATCAAAGTTTGATTGGGTTCAGTTACTAAATTTTTTGCGAGAGTTAGATTGTGTTCGAGTAGCGAACCTTATCGTTCGATTGATAAAACGCTCCATTTGGTTTCAGTGGTTAGGTCGGGGAACATCTGGTCTCCAACCGTTACAAGGCAGGTCATTCCGTGGACCATGTCCATGAAAACACTCAAAAGTCGCTCATCTATCATAAACCGTTCCCTGCATAACTCGTTTGTTGACAAAATAGTTCTAAATTGCGGCCTACAATTCATTCTTTTGTACTGCTGTAGCGCTGAAAAGATTGACATGCTGTCAACTGAAGGTTTTTCCACCGTCAAAAAGAAAAGGTTTATTATAGTCTGAGTATCAGGCGTCTTTGGGGGCAAAAGGCCTTTTGGCCATTTCCGAGTTCCAAAAAACTCTAACTTTCAAAACAACGAGGCTTATATCTGGTGCAAAACCTTTCCTGTCAAAATGAATAGGCCACTTCCGAGTTCCAAAAACCCTCACTTTCAAAAAGAGGCCACGTGCACAACCTTTCTTGTGAAAATGAGTTTTATTTGCATGAGAATGAAAAATCATTTCCATATCGAAGGCTGAGCACTTCACATCGCTTTGATACAGAGGCCCGGGGGAACTCCTAAAACCTATTGTATTTGCACGATAAAAGGATCAATTTCAAATCAACAGCTTCTGTCTCGCTTTGAAACAGAGGCTGGGGACAACTCGAAAATGGCCTGTTGCTCATGGCTTTGCGTGAAGAAACAAAGAAAGCGAAAGTTAGATAAGGAAGCTAGCAAGCAAGTAAGACAGAAACACATGGTCACTGGCGCATCTTTTTAGAATGGTATCTTTGGGAAGGGAGGGTTAGCCAAAGTTTGAGCCACGCCCAGGTTGGTATCCTTTAGAGCCGTTATGACCAGCATTTCGCAAACCTCCCCCCCCCCCCGCCCGCCACCCTCAGGAGTTATTTACACTCATAAGAATCTATTAAGCACTGGGGGCTTGATAAACTTATTCGACTGAGTATTTGTTGTACCCAATTAAAATCTCCCGGTGTTAAGATTCTTTGTGTATTGTATTTGCATTATAATGTGGCATTCACATAATATGGAAATTCCTGAAACAAAGCATTTTATTCCCAAGGGTTTGAGTTGGGTACAACATTGAGTTGTAGCCGAATAGGTCTATTCTTTTAAACAAACTGAAAGGAATTACAGAATTGTCAAGGCAATAACAATGTTCCATTAAAATCTATAGTAATTCCTTGTAAATAAATAATGAGACAGGATTCGCATTGCAAGTGGCCTCGCCTCATTTTTGTACGTACAATCGTTAAAAAGGTTTAAGTAAATGCCATTTACAAAAGACAAAGTTTCTTCTAAGATATTTCCAAGTATGTAGACTTTACGGAACACTTACTCGAAGTGCCTGCCACTGATTGGGCTTACCATGCCGAGCTTTTTTTTTTTGGGAAAGTAGACCAAACATTCCTTCCCCAAGCCCAGCCAAAACGCAAAGCTGCAAACGCTCTGTACGCGAGCCTAGGGATGGGGGGAGGGGATGGGGTACTCCCTGTAGTAGCCTATACGGGGTGGCTCCGCCCGCAAGGGGTAACTGTTAACTTGCAGGCTTCAGGTACATGAAAGGGTAGTGATTTCGCTAGTTGAATTATATGAAAGGGTAGGAAAATCTATCATTACAGTCTGTAAAAAGACCCAAAAGGGCTAACAGATGCTTTTTTTGCCGTAAAAAAGTCCAGAAAACCTTCTAATTTTGTGATTTGGGTGTATTTCAAAAACAGCGTATTGCAGCAGTTAAAAGGGTCGCAATGGTCTAAACTAGGTATGTGAAAGGCCCCGCATAAAACTTTCGTTAGTACTCCCTCCTCACCCCCTCCCCCGCCCCGCACTTGGGTAAGCGTGCTATCGATGAGACAAATATGCGCAGTAAAAATGCGCGATTCCATTATTTTTAAGAACAAATAACGACACCACCGGAAAGCAGACATGTATGTAATGCTACTAATTTCGTCCAAGCGTTTAGAATCCATACAACATGGCACCGCTTACAGCATTGCAATTCTGAGATATTTTCAAAAAAATTTAAATTACACCTTCGTAACTAGGAACTTGTCTGGGAAAAAGTCGATGCCAAAAGTTAAGATAATATTTCCTATCAATAAGTTAATAATTAGCTAAAATATTGTCCGGCATCCAAGTATTATTTTTATCACTAATTTATAAAATACCTCAATTCTATGAGTATAAACAGCTTTTCTTTTTGGTATAGCTAAACTCTAACAGTGTTTAACAATGTTCTAACGTTTTTAATAAATAAGTCTCAAAACTATTAATAATTCACGCAAGGAAATTTATTGTATGGAGGACGTATGAAACCCCGGGGAAAAAGAGCACTCCCTTTCAAGGGAGGGGTACCTCTCGTACATTTTTATGGGTTACTGCTGTGGGTAAGCGCTGCTTAGGATTTAAGTGAACGATAGACTGCGAGCGGTCTCCTTTTCCTCGGGGATAGCATAAAAAGGGAAATAACACGCATGTTTTTATCGTTATTATTTTAGAGTAGTCCGAACCAGTTGACTTGTTATCACCTACAACTGAAAACGAATTTGATCCACACTCACAAATAGAGATTTTGGTACTTTTAGGGGTTCACCGAAGTTTCCCGACAAGCAATCCCCGCCAGTTTTATAAAGGGAGTCCCCCGAGGTTTGAAAAACGGATACTTATTAATACAGAATGTAACAAATTTTGCATCAAATTTCCTCAAGAACTAATGGTCGCTCAAGGACATGCATCAAACACCAATTTAAAAAAGATTAAATAATCAAAAGAACGAGTAAAATCTTGCATTTTTCTGCCCGTGAATTCGGAAAAGTCTTAAGACCTTTGGAATTCAACGAACGCGTCAAGTATCACGCATCAGTACATGCTAAATCAATGGAAAAAGTAAAAAAAGGCGCTTGTTTCAAAAAAAAGTTTTGAAAGTGATAAAACATCGATGTCTTAATTAAACTACAAACAAAATCAACCTACTTTACACCCCTGTGAAGCCTTTCACCACAGGGGAGCGGCAGAGGGGGAGGGGAGGACAGGGAGTGCAGAGGGAAGAGAGGCAAATCCTCAGCGTTATCTTCGGCTATCCCGTGGATGGATTTAGAAGAAGGGGTGGGGTTAAATAATCATAATCATAATTATAATCATAATCATAATAATCATAATAACAAGAATAAGAAGAATAAGAATAACGACAACTTTTTAACTTCTAAAAGGCTCTTGCCCAAAGCATACAGTTGAACCTCCATTAAGCGGCCACCCTCTTTTAAGCAACCAGTAATCTGTCAGGAAATAATTGCAGAAAACAACTGCAAATAAAACCACTGTTAAATGGCCACCTTTTGGCCATTCCCACGAGAGTTCTTCTGTTGTTGTCACCTCTATTAAGCGGCCACCAGGCGTTTGACACGCAATAGTTGGGCTTTGTTCTAAAAATATGATTAAGGAGAATACTGTCCGAGATGAAAGGTGAAGAAGACTGATTGTGGACCAGCGATGCTGCTCCCGTCGCGTGCTTGTTTCAAAATAAAAAAGGCGTTTCAAAAAAATTGTGCTAATTTCAGACGAATTTCCATTGTGCGGCCAACTTTCATTAAGCGGTTACTTCCAGGTAGCCCAAGGGTGGCAGCTTAGAGTGTGTGTGTGTGTGTTTTTTTTTTTTTTGGGGGGAGGGGGTTCAACTGTACTTTGCTATTGTAGTCAATTACTTAAGGATTACACACCCTACCCCCTGTCATCCCTTCAAAGCTGTAATGGGGACGAAAACGCACATGGTGAAGGGAAAAAGAAGTCAAATGTAACGTTAACCCTTTAAGCCCCAGTATCCACATACAAATTCTCCAAACTGATCTCCATACATTTCCTTTAAGAATTAGTTGAGAGATTTAATAAAATATCAAGGCACTTTCTCTTTCGTGGTCATTTTTTTATATTCTCACAACCTTACCTCTTGACAATGTATGGACATTGTTAGGAGAAAATTGCTGTTGGTCACTATTGGGACTTAAAGGGTTAAGTAAGAAGGATAAGTGTAGTTATCTTCTCCTCCTTTTGTCGGGTGGTTCACTACTGTCCCTTTCCAACCCGGGCCTTAACTTTCGCAGCTCCTTCTCCAGTTCGTTAATGCGAGGAGACAAGCTCTTCCTTAACTCGTTCAGCCGCTCCTCACGTGCGCGGCCTTGAACCATCTCCGTCTCATGGTTCTCGCAAACCTTCTGCAAGCGCCCAAGAGATTCACACTTCTCTATTAACTGCCGATACTGCGGGGTTTCTCGAGGAGGTAGTGCACCGAATGCGAACTTCAAATCTTCCAACCTATCGGGGCACTTTCGCTTTGGATCCATAAGCCCGTCGGATGCAATCATCTTCCCATCACGAGTGAGGATTGTGGGGCAAGACTGCTTCATTTTTGTAAGATGCTCGCGATATGTTTGCCCTGATTTCAGGTCGTTAACCACTATTGTTTTTCGACAGCAGGTTCCAGAACAGGCTACAGCGAAGGTAGCCATTGTCGCTAGTGAATTCCAGGAGATTCACCGCGAATTCGATTGGACTGCGGTAGTTGGACGGAGGAGAAGGCAGTTCTAGAGGCAAAGACTTACCGTCGCTGCCGTCAAAGTCTCTTTTAGAAAAAGGTAACAGAGTGGCCTCACAGTAAGCTGGGCATCCGGCATCATAAACTTTCCGCTGTTGTTCGGTGGTGCTCGTGAGAGCGACTTGCATCTTCGACTGGAGGAACCAGGACAGGATACGCGCCAGCAAAGGATCCGATACATGAGCGAGCTCTGCGACGATACCTGCAGACCGAAAAGTGTCCAAGAAATTAACTTCTGTGTGCTAGTGACAGGGGCTTTTATAAATAAACCTTAACATGTCACATAATTGTGATCATTTTACGTTTCTCGGAAACTGCCCACCTACCCCTCCCCTTGACCAATATCTTGCCCTAAGTAAGAACTAAGTGTTAATGTTGGTTTAGGGGAGGGGTAGGTGGCCAGTTTCACAGAAACATAAAATGATCCCATAATTGCACTAACCTTTTCAGTACAAAATATAATTCATTTCATATATTTCAATTCATGTAATTTCCACCATCGGGTATGTTACGAACTCACAATGGCCTGCTCTCCAGCTGGCCTGATTAGCTCAGTGGATAGAGCGTTGATACCCGATCAAGCCTTAATTTTTTCAGGTTCTTTTTCAACCGCTCAGGTTGTTCATTCTTCTGTGAAGATCATGTTCACTTTCATATCTTTATCCGCAGTTCAAACCATGATTCATTTCATATATTTCAATTCAAATAAGAGAACAGTTAGCACCTTCAAGAAAAAAAACTGTGTTCAGCTAAACAGCTTTCAAACATGTTTAAGCTTGGGTGTGAATGAGGGTGAAGCCCCAATTCCTATAAACAAATTCTCCAGACTGATCTTCATACATTTCCTTAAAGTTGAGAGAACGTTTTAAAGATCAAAGCATTTTCCTTGAGGTGATCATTTTATTAATTCTCATAACCTAATCCTTTGATTACGTATTGACACTGTTAGGAGAAAATTGATGTTAGTCACTCTTGAGAAATACAGGGGTTAAGGGGGCTACGTCACGCTATTTGCTATCATTTCAAAAAGCTCAACCCTTTTACTGCCAAATTTGGCCAAAGGCAAATTTCGACCAAATTTCCAAATTTCATTTTCTAAAATTTTGAGAAACAAATAGCACCATGTGTAAGTACAGGCAGAGAGCTTTCATTTGAATGGTCACATCATAAGATTTCGTCCACAGACTCAAAAGTTAGAGTCATCTTACAAAACTTTATCAGACACTCTGGCAGTGAAAGGGTTAATACGGAATCCATCAGGAAATAGAGTAATTTTAATTTTCAGTGGACAAAAATCTTGTACCAGAATAATTTAAAGCATAATGCATTCTTTTTATATTTCTCAAGAGCTAAAGATGTAATTAGTCATCTTTAATAAAACATTTCTCGTTGGGAGTCCGAAAAAATGAATGTCATATTTCACAAGAATTGTGATGACACAGTTAAATTCTGAAAATTTCATGTGTAAGATGTAATTTTGTGAAATTTGACTTTCATTCTCTCGGGCTCCTATCAGAAATTTTCTTTGGTGTTATTACAGATAACTAATTATATATATCTTTAGCCCTTGAAAAATGTAAAAAAGAATGCGATATTATGTAAATTATTCTGGTAGAAGGTTTTCGTCCACTGAAAATTGACATACTCAATTTCCTAATGGAGTCCGTCTTAAACGTTTCTTCGTATCAGTTGAATTCCAAAAATAATGGCCCAGTTTCGTTACTTCATACTATATTTAGACATTAAAACTGTTTCCTGTCCTCTGTTGTTACGAATGACCAGGATGGGTTTGGATTGAAACTTGAAAAAGTTGAGCAAACTTTTTCAAGTTTTAAAGCTACGCCTACAAAAATCACCAAAATATTTATTATGGTTAGTACTCTCTGATCAAATTTGTTTGATATCTTTTCCAAAACTCTACAAGAGTATTGTATGTGTGAGTAAAGGAACTAAGTGATGACTTTAGCAAAGAGTTAGCCCTTTTTAAAGCCCTTAGAGTGACCAGCATCAAATTTCTCCTTGTGATACCAATGCTTTGTAAAACAGAGTGGTCATGAGAATTAAGGACATGATCACACAAGATAAATTTTCTTGATATTTCATCAACTTCTCCCCACTACTTCTGTAGGAAATGAATAGGGGAAACAAATGAGAATTCAAATTTTGATCTTAGGATTTAAAGGGTTAATCTTAAACAGCAATATCCTCGTGGCATAGCCACTTTAAGCCTTTGAGGCCCAATATCCACATATAAATTCTCCATACTGATCTTCATACATTTCTTTAAGCAATTAGTTACGAATTTGATAGCAGATCAAAGCATTTTCTCTTTAGTGATCATTTTATTAACTCTTATAACTATTTCTCTTGGCAACATATGGATATTGTTAGGAGAAAATCGATGTTGGTCACTATTGGGACTTAAAGCTATGCACAACTGGCACGTTTACAGCAACACAGGTTCCTTACCTTTTATGTACTGTCTTATCCTGGCCGGGGGTCCATTCTGTATAATGGGTGGCCGAGTAACTGCTCCAGCAGTCTCAAGTTGGTTCAACTGGTATCTGGTGGTTTGGAGAACGTTTACCACATCTCGAGTGCGTGGCTCCCCCCTGAAAGAACTTCTTACTGGAGTAAGAGCTGCCACTACTTCCGACTTCGTCCGGTTCACCTTCTGTTTGCTTTCTCGGACGCTTTGTTCCAGATCTGCGATCTGCTTCCTGAGTGGCTGAAGCTCGTTCTGTACCCGCTGAATGTGTTCATCTGAAATACAAAGTGGTTTAGAGCAATTTTTGCAATAAGTTGTTGTAGTTGTTGTTGTTTTTTATTGCACAATCACAACGACAAAAAAAAAAACAAAAGAACGAAAGGAAGCATTAATTGGTCTCACAAACGAAGGTAAATGTGCAGTCGTGGCTACTGATTTGTTTAAAATAGCGCATAAATGATTGGTTATACCTCTCTCGGTGATACAGCCAAACCCCGCTTAATACGGACACCCCGTTATTACGGACAGTTTGCTTTGTCCCCGGGGAAATAAAGCCCTTACATTTCCCTAAATTGATCTTAAGAAGTTGTTACGTCACGTTACCGTGGTAGCAAAATTTTAGGATCTTAACAAACCGTGGTCCTGCAAATATCGCAGAAAGAAACAAAAAACTTGGCATGCTTGTCTTCCCTGTGGATGATTGCACTCAGAAACAAAACGGTAGCCCGTTACTTTTCTTCCATCGATCGACACTGCAAATGGCCGTCTCTGTCAAGAAAGATTGTTGAGGTACAGAAATTTTGCAACCATGGTAACGTGACGTCACACTTCTTTCTATACTGCACCTACGTGGTATCCGCAAGAAAGAGAGGAGGAGGGAAAATCCCGAGCGCGCAAGTGCTTTAGGATGCGCGAAATTCCTTCCTGATTCCTACACACACTATGCTGATTGCACGTATCCCCGTTTCCTCTTAAGTGCCTGCCACAAAATACTTTTCTTTCATTTGATGAGAGGTGCGTGTTGGCAGGGAGGGAGATTAAAAATACACGAAAACGCGAGAAAAGCCGCCTTTAGACCGATTCAACAGGAATGAAACTTGACTTGTAGCTCAATGGTTCAGATTTGCAGTAGACGTGTCAGGGTCTCAACTTGGAACGTTGCAAGTGATCACGAGGGAGTTGAACTTAGCTTAACTTCAGAAATGGCCCCCTTTTTCACAAGTTAATACAAAAAAGGAGTAACGTCAAGTAAATATTAAAAAAAAATTTTAGTCAAGCCAGAAGCCATGAAAGACTCCTACTCAAGCATATTACTGTACTTACCTGTGCTAAAAGCGAACTTAACAGTGTGAGACTCAACTCCGGGTGCCGAAAACACTAACAGATACTCGCCGATATAATTCCCCACACGACTGCAAAGTGTAAGCCTTGGTAACTTGGCACTACCATGGTTGAGCGTGATCTGGATGGGACTGTTCTCCAGAGCTGGTAAGACTGTACCCTCGGGCACAGTCCCCGATGGTTGAATGCCAACGTTAACCGCCAAAGACGATTCGGCCATGTTGCCATGAGCGTCTTCAGCAGCAAGGATGACGTCTTCGACTCCACTAAGAAACAAGAAATCAGCATATTTTGCATTTTAGGGTCATACTGATGATTAACCAAGGGATCTACTCAACTTGATTTCAACTAGCCCTTTCGAACATTTAAAGTTGTTGACGAAGGGAAAAAACGGACGATAAAACCGGGAAACATACAAAAGGCAACAAGCGCGGGATAAATCGCAGCCGGCAACAAACAAGGGAAAAATTGGTGACTGGCAGCGAACACGGTCGGGATAAATTATCTTAACAAGCTCGGGGATAAGTTTCCCGTTTCAGTAGCGGGAAAGGAAGTGACTTGAAAAAGCGCAGCAAAATGTCTTCAGTATCATAACCTTTGGATTCGAGGACGAAGACAACTACGAGACTTAAAAGTGTTTTTTCTCGAATTCTGAAAAAATAGACAACCTCGAAAGCGCCGTTTTCCTATTTTCACCAGAAAAGTTAACACGGTCGATTTTATTGAAGGAGGTTAAGCCCTCCCACGATAAAAAAAAAAATGATAAAACTTCTAACATTTGACAACTTGCTTTCCACCACTACGACATTTTCGGTAAAACCCGCAGAAGAATGACGACGGCTATAGTGTTTTCCCGTCAAAATGACGCTGCACTACTTAGTACTGAGAAAATCTCGTCCCCGTAGTCGTCCTTGTCTTAGAATCTCAAGGTCCCTAATAAGTAAACCATAACATTGTACATGAGTAATTTGTGCAACTAACCCTCTCCGTGCCAGAGGAAGAATGGTGCGACCCTTGACGTCAGCAGTGCAAGAGGCGCTGAGGACTGTGGGAGAACCAGATGGAAAGCGAAGAACGAGTCTTCTAGGAGGACCTGGGAGGAAGCAAAACCAAATTAGAGTTCAGGCGACATTTAGGACGACAAGATTTTTGTCACGAGCGTTAAGTCTACGAAAAACTGAATCCCAGGTGGAATGATCGAACTTATGCCTTTCTATTATCTGTCTGTCGCTTCATCCATTTGACCAAGAGGACTCAAATTTACAAGGGTCTCTCGTACCGCACATTAGGGCCCTTAAGGAAAGGCATTTAGCGACGCACATCAACGGAAAGTAGATTTTTGGCAATCTTGGGGAGTGATTGTGCTCAAAATTTAAGGCATATCGTCTCTTTAAGAATAAAGACACTAACCTATCATTATAGCCTGCGAGGCAGGCGTTAAAAGAGGAAGGGGAAGGGCGAATTTGGTCGCGCGAGAGCGTGTGGGGTGCTTCTCCCTCGCGCGTGGTCTCGCGCCCTAATTCCCTTCCCCCCTCCCTTTCGAACGCCTGCCACGCAGGCAACTATCATTATTGCGAGCATCAAGGCATACTGAAAAAGAAAAGGCTTCACTTCCTATTGACGTGCGTTGTTGAAAAACCCCTTTGCTAAAAGCTCCCTTTTGTTAGGTTCACCATTGTTAAATAAGAGCATGCGCATAACGCAAGTAATGAGGAAATCAGAGTGTCAAAATTATGAAAGTTTTTTTGAGAATAGGTTAAGTCTATTTTTAGGGTAAAAAGCCTCATAAAATACCTACTAAGGTCAAACTCCGCTTTACGGACCCCCGCTTAATACGGACACCCTGTTATTACGCACAGTTTGCTTTGTCCCTGGGAAGAGAAAGCCCTTACATTTTCTCTAAATTCAACCCGCTTAATACCGACACCCCGTTAATATGGACACTTTCAATGGCACCTTCAGTGCCAATATTAACGGGGTTTGACTGTAGTTTGAACATAACAACTGTTGTTGTACACATCCACCAATACACATTTACCTGGGTGCACAAAAAATTGGACTGGCTGGCTGGTAGTCACGTGATCGGCAGGTGCTAGAACGCTTTTGAGTCTGTCCCTATGTTCGTTGTAATGACAGATGAGTGACCACTGCCCCGCCTCCTCCAAATACCGGTTTGCTAATGGCTGATACGTTACCAGGCCTTCTCTGTCCTGAGTAGGTTTCCTGTAAACCGTGATGGTCTGCGGACCACGTGGCCGGGATATTTCAAGATTAAGGTGCCCGACCCCATCAACTTTGACTCCGTCTTCCGTTTCACATCGCACCTATTTGATGGTAAAAGCAGTTTTTTTAGTAACCAATCGCACTTAATCTCGTACCCATATCTCTTCTCTTATTGACGAAGAGATCTGGGTATGAGATTACAATCGCACTTTGACTTAAGTTGATAACTTTGTAACTTAATTTATGGTCTAGTTTGCACCGGGAAAGGGCCGTTATCGAAGCAAACACACACATCACTATCACAAAATAAAAAATATCTTCGAAGGGTAACAAACGGCGGTGTCCCTCGCTAACATAAACTCAAAAGTGTTGCGCAGTATTTAATAGTATTCAAACAAAGAAAGCTTTTTATCCACGCAACTTATTTCACATTTGACTCACGAAATCTCGAGAGTGTCGGTCTAACAACATGAAATGGGAAAAAAGGGAGCTCGAGCAGTCACAACGACGATGGCAGTAAAGACAACACTAAAAATAACTTCGCGCTGGTTCAAACTTCACCGCTATTATTACATCTCGTTCAATTCTTCAATTGTAAAGGAATTTCCAGGAGTTGAATTGTAAGAGATCGCATCCAATTTCACGAAGAAAGGAGAATTTGTCGTACAGTAGCCAAGTTTTCCACTATTAGAAAAATTTACGTTGTAGTTGTGCAGAGGACACACTTCAAAACAATACACAAAAAGTGTAATGTACGTGCACTTTTGTTCTTTCGCTTCTAAAGCTCATTGTTTTTGGACGTTCCCTTTGCCGTCGTCGTCGCTCCCTTGTTTTAGCTGCTCAAATTCACCTTTAACACAGGAAAATTGCCTGTAGCCATGAGATTCTGCTCGGCGACTACTTTTACAACCACGGCTTTCACACGGTTACTTTTCTCCAGAGACGCTGTGACAGTTGCTGACTGAAGAACAGAGAAAGCAAGGGAAATTAATGAAAACTGAATGGAGACGTTTTTGCGATATAATTTCGGTCCGTGTTACAGTCATGTGATTCCCTCACTTCTCTAAGAGATCCAAGCATTTTCCCTTTGGTGATCATGTATACATATTTTTAGGAGAAAATTGATCTTGAAACTTTGACGGTTAAGGCGAGTTTACACCTTTACTATGCTTGAAAAGGCCCCACATACATTAAACAGGGTCTGAAAGGGGGTGTCTGGATCTCGAATCACAGGTTAAATTTAAGTAAATTCACCAATCACGTTACCTACTGGAGTCGTTTCACGAATCACGTGATTAGTTGACGAACTGATCAAGTCCATCAATGATTCTTAGTGGTTGCTGGACTACTCAGGCAAGAGTTATTCTTAAATGATCGTGACATCGGAATGAATCAAAAAGTATAGTGATCAAACTAGTGATTCTCTACTTTTTGGTTTAACGACTAAAAGTTAGACTGGCAATGAATTTTATTGCTATAAAATCGAAGTTCTACAAGTTTTCACTTTTACCTGGTTAAACTTCGAACCCTTGTCACGACAATTACAGTAAAATTCCGAAAATAAGCCCCTCCACGTATAAGCCCCCCAAACCGGTAAAGCAAAAAACCCTCCGTTAAATCACCCCTCCAAATATAAGCCCCACCCCCGGGGGGGGGGGCTTGTACTTGGAAATTGCCCTCAAATACAAAGTAAAACAAAGCAAAAACGGTAAATTTACTTCCAACTATAAGGCTAGCCCAATCGATTGTGAAACGCAAATTTCCCGCCGTAGATAAGCCCTTCCGAATATAAGCCCCTCCAAAAATAAGCCCCTCAAAAAGCCCCATTGAAAAATATAAGCCGCGGGGCTTATTTTTGGAATTTGACGGTACTTCTGTTTTATCGGATCACGCGAAACCCCTTCTAGACCTTGATTAAACTCTCCATGAAAGAAATATTTTGTAGTGCATTTGAATAAAAGGGCAGTATCTCACCTGCAGATTCTTATGGTCTGGACTGGACACCTTCAGTTTGACCTGCTGCTCACCGCTCCGACTGCCGCACCTCATCGCCTTGGCTTCAAAAACTGTCTCTCCCTTCTGAGTGGTCTTTCTTGGCAGCAACTGTCCGCAGGAAGCTGGAATCCAGGAGAGGTTCAGCGTTGTTTTGAGAGGCGTCTTGTTTCCAGACTTATCACAGATGAAAGCAAAGATAGGAGCGCTAAGATAGCAGTTGGAGAAAAACTTGGCTGTATGTTCGTTCTTGGGCGAAGAGTCATCAAATGCTTGGCTTTTCAACTCAATGTGATGTGGAGCACCTGACGGGAAAGTTTTAATTCACCACTTTAGAAACTAAGGGAACTTGTGTCCCGCAAGTGATTCTGGGATCGTTATCGGTGACGTGCCGTTCAGCTATTGGCCAATTTTTCCTCTGCCCCTAATAACATTCCCACACGTCTTTGCGAGAGTTAACACGGCCCAGTTTCTTTCTCGTGTCATAAAAAGGGCACTGTTACATTCTCACACGTTTGGTAACCATTGGTCAAAGTCATACTTGAAGAAAAAAAATCAAATTTCGCTCTGTGAAATTCTGAAAATATAAATTGCACCATTCAAACGTTCTGTTTCGGAGGTTTGATTTGAATGGTTACACCACGGGATTATATCCAAGGATTCAAAACTAAGTTTTATGTCTCCTTAACTCACCCTAGAGTGAAGCTGTTAAAGTTACAGCAAATACCCTATCTCCTACAAGAACACAAAACGGCTCCGGGAAGACTTAGAAGTCTATTATGAGTGAAATCTTCGAAGTGTGAAGCAAATGAGTCACTATTTTTTGGCCATTTTTTCGAGGCTCGCTAAAAGAACTTGAAAAAGTTAGCCTTACCTATCCTGTCTCTTTGTCTTCAATCGAGAAATTGTACCACAAGCACTTCTTAATGATAATGGAACATTTTTAAATTCGTGTTTAAGATTTCAACGCTCAAAATGTCTTATGGCCAGACCAACTACACTTATCTTTCCCGCATTGACGAAGTTTGGTGAATTCTAAATGAAAGTGCTGGTGAAAGTTTTAATTTTACGTGGAATTTTCAAAGTTCATGAATCGAACAAATGGTACATAGTACTAGATGAACTTTCCGACGTTTTCATGGCCCAGGAGAATTTCAAACTACGTGTAGGACATAAAGCATCATACCTGTTGTTTCCAGCTAAACCACAAAACGTACCCGTAATGTTCATCTTTCAAAGTTACGTTTTATTCTTCACAAAAGCAAACAACTTTGGCATACAGTAAAAAAACCCGCGACTAAGAACCCGCATTTCCCAAGTTAGCCTTAACAGGTTCTTGAATAAATGGTAATTAACACAAATTTAGGCTATTATACAACCCTCCAAGCTGCGACCATTTTGGTCGCCATGGCGCCTAAAATTTTGGAGCTGGCGACTTGATTTGTAAAAAAGTCTCCGAAGCCAAAAGAGTTGGTGGCCAAATGGCGACCGAGCAAAAACTTTAACTTGGACGGTTGCTATTTAGGTTCTTAAATAGGTTCTTATGTTCTTAGGTTCTTAGTCTGTGACTAACCCAGGCAAGTGATTACCACACGCAAAATAACCACAGGGAGCCCACACAATCTGTTTGCGTAACCAATTGTAATTTTATAGTAAACGTACTGGATTTACCGTTTGCTTCACCTGTAGCGATATATCGCTAAATATGTACATGGATCAATGCTAAATAAACGTTTTATTACCTTGCCTACGGTAAATTGTCGTCCTTTTGCCTGAGAAGGGAGTTTGTTGTTTACCGTCCTCTCATGTATGTAAGGTAATAAAACTATTATTTAGCACTGATCCATGCACATATTTAGCGACATAACATTACAAATGAAGCAAATGGTAAATCCAGTGCACTTATACTATAAAATTACAATCGGTTACACAAACAGACTCTGTGGGCTCCCTGTGAGATAATATACAGGTGCCCGCACTCACCAGGTTTGAGATTGATTCTTTGCGTGTCTTTAGAGAACTTGTTATCATTGTCGTACAGACACATGGTTATTACACCAGGCTGGCCTGAAATGGTGGCTTCACTATTGAACACGAATTCCGAGCCTTTACGACTGATATTTCCGATAAACACAGCAGTGCTACCACTGTAGAGATGTAAAACAAAAAAAAATACTACATTCACCTTGTAAACTAGTGAAAAGAAACAATAAACAATTAAAGACTGGTCCCGAGGGAAACAGTTAACTTTGATTTCCGAGAATCTCAATGTTCGCCTCAGGAAACACTGAGATTCGAGAGAAAGAAAATTAACTGTTTCCCGAGGGACCAATCTTTAGTGATTTGTTATATAACTGGAAATTTTGAAGCTGGAAATTCATTAAACCTCGCTGTAACGGCGGTCATTGGTCAACATTCGCAGGCAACAGTGCACTGCTACCTTCTGACATCATAGATTGTGCAATATTTCCCACTCAGAGATTTCGCGGGGAAACAGTTTCATTGTTAGATGTCATGTGACCTCGAAGTAAGCAATGAGGGCACGCGCTGTTGGAAAGAAATTTCTAGCTATATAACAACACTGCATAACTACTGCTTAACAAATGAACAAGCGTTAGTGTTAAATAAAGTTTACATTACGAAGCCTAAAAGTGTGGCCACTGCTCATTAATTCGCATTGTTTAGCCTTCAATCGGCGACAAAATTTTTGAGACACTGTCCTTAGATGGGGTAACTTCGGAGAACAAAACAAGCTACACCTCTCCGCCCCCATCCCCGCTCTATTCAATGTTGGAGTGTTTGTTGCTTCCTTCAGGTAGCTCGAAAAGCGGCCCAACATTGCTTGGAGGGGATGGGGTAGGCAATACTTCAGAAAGGCCCTTTAGGGCAAAATGTCTCAAGAGCAGTGTTCTTTAACAATACCTTGATGCATATGTTAACTTCTTAACGTATCTGGCGGATAGAAATTTGTACTCTCACTGATCTGAAAAGCGCCACTAAGTTGGTTTAAATTTCAATCATATAACATTTGTGGCGATTTAGCCGCGGAAATTCGCGCTGAATCACAAACCGTTTACACGCGCCATTCAGGTTTGCAACCAGATCCCAGGGGCCGCTTTTGTCGCGCCACAAATTGCGCTAAAACCCCTCCTGTGTAATTGGCCCTTAACTAACCTTCTTGATGGTGAATGCTCAACTGATACCATGGGTTCCACCCCTTGAGGACACTCGGCAGGATTGCCAAACTTGTCATTCAATCGAATCTTAAGGTTTTGACTCAACTGTCTTTTGCTGTCGCACTCAATTTGCAAAGTTTGGTCCTCGCACACGAATAACCACTTCTGCGGTTCACCTGGAAGAATAAAACAACTAGCAATTTTGACGAATTCTACATCTAGCCGGATTTTTGAAAACGTTACCGCCAAATAGACCTCTTCCGGTCAAAGTAGCCAATATAAAAACTGAGAGTGCAGCCATTGCTTTTTCCTCTTGCTCTTTCTTTTTCTTCTTTCCTTTTCCTTCATTGGCGTGATTTTCGAGATTATCGGGCGCAAGAAACCCTCACCAGAAACTCGTTCCTCGTCATGTCAAAAAAAAATAAATAAATGAAAATAAAACCGACCAGCCAACAACATAAATTGATTCATTAGCTCCAGGGCTTGTGCGCAAGCTACCCTGGGTAGCAGAGGTTTTTTTCGTGTGCGGCGGGACCAGGGTACACGCAAGCACTTGTTTCTCGGTAAATTTGGCCGTGCATCGCAAAGGTGTTTGGATCCTTTGTGTTCCTTGTGAATAAAATCGTCGCAACAAACATAAGTTGGATCTGAATTGTGCAACTATAATTCAAAACGCTTTGGGTTTGTTAAAACGAGTGGCCCTAGTTTTCAGTCTGTCAAATGCGGGCGAAGTTTTCTGGAGTTAATCCTAAATGACTTGGTCCAAGATCAGAAACAGGAAAAGGGAAATCATTGTCTTGTGTTTACGTCCTCCATACTACGTGAAATTAGAAAGTTTCACCTCGTAGTCGTGCAAGAACGGCAAAGAAATACCGTAAAATTCCGAAAATAAGCCCCGGGGCTTATATTTTTCAAAGGCTTATATTCGGACGGGGCTTATATTCGGACGGGCTTATCTATGGAGGCAAATTTGCGTTTCAAAATCGAGTGGGCTAGCCTTACAGTTGGAAGGAAATTTACCGTTTTAGTTTTGTTTCACTTTGTATTTGAGGGGAATTTCCGAGTATAAACCCCCGGGGGCTTATATATGGAGGGGCGATTTAACGGACGGTTTTTTGCGTTACAAGTTTGGGGGGCTTATATTTGGAGGGGCTTATACATGGAGGGGCGTATTTTCGGAATTTTACGGTATGCAAAAAAGCGTGACGCACGTGCAGAGTTGTTGTTTTGCTAATCTAGCCCTATTGCTTTTTAGCCGTTCTCGTTGCTGTCGGCACTGTGGTTGGTTAAGCTCCCTTATGAATTTACGTACCTGCAATGGGTTTAATCCTTATTTGGGTCTGACATTTGACGTCACTACATACGCACTCCACATTACCCACATACGGGACAGCGACCATGCTCGCCACAGGGCAGTCTGGCAGATACGGTAAATTCGCAACTGATACCTGGCAAAAACAAACAAATAATTCATCAGAATTCAGATTTAATGACGTTAATACACATAGTAAAGGTTATATTATTTCAGGGTTAGCAAATTTTATTGATGAGTGGAGTCAGTGTGACTTCTGCTTCACAAATTTTGGAGTCATTTTGGAATATTTGGAGTCAAGTATCAGACTTTCCAGCACGTGGTCCCGGCATGTATACACTATCGTGAGGGATACACGAAGTAGCTGTGGCGGTCCGCTGACCTGGAAAGCTCAAATCCATGATGGCGGTCATCGAGTAAACTTTGATCGTAATTTACCCTCTTCCTGTTTTGTCGTGGAGTATAATTCTTTAATTTCGATGATTTAATTAAGGTTTACAACGTTTACAATTAACGTAAATTGTATTTGTTGCGAAAAAGGTAAGGACAAAACTGTGTTTGTTACCGAAAATTTCTTGAGTCGAAGTGGCTCCCTGTTTGTTACCGAAAATTTTTGGAGTCGAAGTGACTCCCTCCGTAACCTCAGTGGAGTCATCTGAACAATTTTGGCGTAAAATACGCCAAATTTGGCGTATTTGCGAACCCTGTTATTTATTATTATTTATTTATTTATAACAGCTTAAAAGTTGTAAACATTACTGCGACTAACTTTCTCGTGCTTTATCTACTAATATCTCCTAACCTCTCCGTTCCAGCTCGTGGTAACTCTAGGTTCAGCGGCCTTGAACTCCTCAGCATCCAATAACTTCCCACTTTCATCAAAAACCTTGAGGAACAGGCCTTTCACCATAGAGCCTGCCGGCGCCATCAGCTCTAAGCAATCTCTTCCATCCCTACCATTCACCGCCACTCCATTCGCCGCAGTCAACTCATTTTGGTTTCCCTCGCATATCATCACTTTATGAGGCAAAGTGCTAGGAAGAACTTTGATGGTAAATTGTTTCAACTCCTTGAGCGATTCGCTGACCGTCAGTTTCCGGCGAATATTTTCCACCGAAACGAGCGATATCTTGATTTTCACGTTGCAAGGAGCTTTTCCAGGCGCAAGCTTCACTTTAATGGGCGAAAAACGACCTTGCCCCTGCTCAATGGTGGCAAGATGAGGGCCGCCAACAAACGCTTCGCATTCCGCATGCAGCTTGGTTCGTCTGTCGTTCACAGAGCACGGCTGACTCCACTGATCAAGGACTTGAACTGTAAACTCAGGAAACTCTTCGTAGTTCAATACTTCGTTTGTCTCAAACTGAGGGAGCTTTACACTCTGCGGCTGGCCTGTGGTATCAGATAAAAACCAGACGGGTTCAAGCTTTTGGCGCAACGATTTCTGGAATCGTTTGGATGGACAAGCGTTACTTATGATTGGTTAATGGTTGCCTTCAATACCATCGACCAATCATAACTAACGTTTGTTCATCCAAACTATCCCAGAAATCATTGCACCCAACAGCTTTTACTCCTAAGTTCCCGACACGGAGGGGGAGTGGGGAAAAGATTTCACTTCATGACTCACGTAATTTATGAAGTTTGAAAATAGACAGCAGTCCCCGGGCGAGAGAAAGCCCTTAAAAAACTGTGCGGGAGCAGCTAAAGTGGCGTCAAAAAGAGGGAAAGGTTCCATATAAGACGCCATTAGAATAGTCTGCTACATAGCCGTTCTTTGTGTCGTTACGCAACACTCCTCGGTCCCCACTGCGCCCTTCGAATGCAATTTAAAAGCTAATTTAATTACGCAAACCTAAAGGGCCTCATCATCCCTGATGGTGCCCTTGATCGGCGAAAGGTTGGATTTTAACCTTTAGTTTAAACGGAACTGACAGGCCTTAATCAAGCTTCAATATTGTTATATTAAAATTCAGCTACTGAAGGATAACATCCAAAAATTATTGAAGGTGCGCCTACAGATCGACCAATGACTACTCTCACTGACGGCGCTCTTTTCTATTAATCCTTGAAGTGCCAAGAGTGATCAAAATCAGTTTTCTCCTAACGATTTAAATACAAAATCAAGGGGAAAATGCTTTGATCGTTTAATAAATTCGACTTCTCTTAAACTAGTTCTTTAAGAAAATGTATGAAGAGCAGTCTGGAGAATTTGTATGTTGATATTGAGGCTTACGGGGTCACCTCCTTTTAATTGCATTCGAATGCAGTTTACGTGTACACGCAGGCAGAAAATTTCCTTCATAAAGTGTAGCACTGTTGCACACAAAAATTCAAAAAGAAGGTACGAAGACGTTAGCCGTTTTCTTCTTTAAGATTAAGGTTTCGTGCACGCTAGTTTAGTTTGCAATAGCAATCCCTTACTTGAAGAAAACTAATCAAACTCACATGTGTTGGTCTTCATCACTGGGAATTCAACCACCTGATGCGAATACGTCGGTAAAAAGTGCAATTTCGCGTTATAAAATCAGTACATTATACGTAACTAGACATGCAAACAGGAGCGAAAAGGACCAACAACAGGCTTTCTGGATAGACTAGCCTACAACGCGACCGTAACCGAACACTTGCGAAGACAAAAGTCAAATTCTTATCTTTTGTTCCATAGCACTGCTCCAACCGTAATCCTCACATCAAAAGAATTAAGGATAGGAACTGGGAAATGAGTTGTTATTAATCCACCGCCTTACACACGAAAGTACAGTAAGGGAGGTTAATTCGACTGTCACTGTCTGCTGATCTTAACGCTCCGATTGGTTAACAAAAATAGCTACAACATGTTTTCACGCGCTTTAACACGTTGCATAGTTTCCTGCGCTCTACACAAGTCACTAAGCTTGGATAACACCTGCTGGTAAAATGGCTGATTCTGCCTGCTGGCAATACTTGTAAAATCGCTTATTCTGCTAGAAATTCTGCTTTAACATCCAAATACTGCAGAAATATCTGCTTAATAGCTGAAAAATTTCCCCTTTCTGGAATGTATTTTCGCAAATCTGAACGGAGGGCATGCAGAGCAAACCTGTAATTTATCTTGTACAATATCACTAACATTAGTAGAAGTTTTTAACTTAGGATTTTCTAGTTTTACCATTTTTTTGTTTGTTAATTTCTTTCTACAACTATTGTGCATATCATCACTGTTACTAATCTGTTACCAGTTTCTGCTAAACTGCTCAATTTCTGTTCGGAAACGCCTTATTCTGCCGGCATAATTCTCCCCTCAAAATTCGCCTTTCTCTGCTCGACATATCGGCCGACAAAGTTTACGCACGCCAAATGGTCCCTAGCTTGTTTCCCTGGGCTTATATCACGTCTGATATCACTTGGCAACCGATGCAAGCTTTACATAAACGGCTTATTGTCTGGGGATATCATTATAAAAGTATATCTCTTATAAAACCGGATAAGATTATATCCATTTGGATTCAGGATATCTGTAGGAATGTAAAGAGGCTTTCACAATTAATCCTATAAAACAGGATTATCTAGTATGCCTTTAAAAACACCAAATGTAACGAGGGGGTGGGCGTCGGGGGTTTTAGCATCGCTACGCTAGAAACCAACATGGCCGCCGTAGTATCCGGGTGTCTGTATTAAGAGTATTAAGCGGGTATCCGTAGAGCGGGATTCCACTGTATAGCAGAGAACAGACGCAGGTTCATAATGAAAGGTTAGGAAGAATCGAACGAAGCATGACTCGAAAGAGGCCATTTCGAACGCCGTTAACACTTACCTGAGATTAAATTTTCACCCAGCTTTCTTTTTCTTGTTATCAAAAGCACTTTCTCGGATAATTTTTCTTTATTCTTTTTAGAGTATCCAATCATCAAATTGTAGGCAAAGAGAATAAAACTGAATTTGCTTTTCAAGCTCCCATAGTTGAGTTCAAATTTCGCACTAACCCTGGGTTATCTTAACCCAGCTTCGAACAACTGTACGACCTATTACCATTACTTAGCTTACAAAAAGCATTCTATTTTAATCAGTTTATGTACTCACCAGCTTTAATCCTCACAGGAAAAGTGACAAAATTGTCATATTCAATCCCAATGACGTCAACTCTCACAGATAGCTCTTTCCCATACTGCACCCTGTCAGAACCGTTCGGGGTGAGGGCTATACCGCTGACCTCGAGAACACCGTCACTGTTTGTCTTGTACTTGTCCTTCAACCCTTGCACTTTCAAATTGGCACATGTCACATTCAGCGTCACGAATTCTCCAGAACTGAACAACGTTGCCGGGTTCTTGTAATTGTCTGTGAAGGCCAGTTTAAACTTCAGGCCCGGTTCACCCAGGGCGACCTGGGGAGTCTCTGTTCGTGAGGGCTCAGTTAGGGCAAAGAGAGAGGCGGTGCTGGCTGCGTAAAGCGAGAGAAATGAAAACAGGTTTTGACTATTCGCTTCTTTATAAGCAAGAAGGAAACTGGACCCAATTAACTTTCGAAAAGACTTCTGGGACTGTAATTAGGGACAAGGGAAAAAATTTGTCGATAGCGGTGTCACAGTGTTATAGGCATCTCAGCGTTTTGGGCATCCCCTTTCCCAAAACCCTGGGGATATGGGCATCCCCTGTAACCCAGATCACTAAGGTAATATGAGAAGGGAATGCCCATATCACTAGGGTTTTGGGAATGGGGATGCCCAAAACGCGGGGAAACCCATATCACTGTAACAGCGTTGCCTTCCCAGTAACAATCCCAGAGACAATCGCAGGACGCTATTTTCTCGTTTCTAAAGAGGCGAACACCATTTTTATTGATTCATAAGACAGGCAATCGGATAGAGGTAAATACCTGATAAATTCGTTATGCAGGAACTGTAGCATGCACTTTGAATAATTATCTTAAGAACTTTGATTTGTTGGAGACAGTCTATATTAAGTAAAATTTAATCCCTGTACAACCGCAAACCCCGCATCCCGGCTGGCTAACGTAATCTCTACCTGTCAAATCGTATATAGCGGGTAAAGCGAGCCAATATAACGCCACCAGTCAAACAAAACACTAAAAACCTTTCAAATTTTCGCCTTGTTTTCTAGCAAGCTTCACGAGTTAACCAATAATCAAACACTTAAGCGCTGTGCACTCACCTTTAACAACAATCCGAAACTGCGTTGATGCCATTTCTCTGTCTCCCAACATGGCAATATACTTGAGTGTAAAAACTCCAGCTTTAGATAACCAGAACGACCTAAATCCAAACTTCTCACCATCGTGCGGCTGATCATTCTGAATCGGTGCCATGTTTTCTGGTCCCTCTACCACCTGTCATAATCGGATCATTTGAGGTTACGGGGTAACTGACCACTTACCCCACCCCTAAGTCACAATTAACATTTATTTCTTAGGGCAAAATTGTGACTTAGGGAGGGGTAGGTGGTCAGTTACTCAGAAACCTCAATTGACCACTCCAGAAAATACCATAACATACCACAATGCTCTCTGTTTGTCACCCCAAAAGTTTGCATAAGCACTGTTTTCAGTTTCTCATGGGGCCATTTTAACTCCCAAGAGAAACTGAAAACAATGCTTATGCAAAATTTTGGGGTGACAAACAAAGAGTATTATGGTATATTATGGTATTTTCTGGAGTGGTCAATCGATACTCATAATCAGTTCTATGTACTTACTGACTCAGTGGTAGGCCCGTAAGGGAAACTATTTGGCTCGAGGTCAGGACGTACGGACCGAGCGCACGTCTGGCCCGATCTAACTCGGTCAATAAGCTTTTTATCATATGACCGTTGTGTTTTTCTGACGGAGCAAACCCGCACCAAACGGTACGCTTTTCTAGCAGAGCCGTACGCGTTTTTCCGGCCCTATCAATTGACGCGTATGGGTTTCCAACGACATTGCGCGCGGGGCCGTACCAGTCATATGATAATACCCGGTAATAAACATTTTTTGGATAAAGGTACGGGTAAAACGAACAACAAATACGTGCAACTACTTGTTTTGCAACACTGCTGCAAAACGGGCTCAAAAGAGATGTTGCGCGTTTTACCACTCACGAATCAAACCTGTCTTGCAACAAATCAGGTTGTTGCTGGTTGCGAAAAGTTGTTGCAGAAAGTAGAGAGTCGCATCTTACCTGCCCAAGGCAAATTTGCTTTGCGGCAAGTGACGTAAATCCCGTGTATAAAGTGACTCCTGCGTAATTTTATCCAATCAGAAGTCAGAGTCACGCAACTTGTAGCAACCTGATTTGTGGCAAGACAGGATTTGAATCTGGGCGGTAAAGTGCGCAACATTTGTTTTGAACTTCTTTAGCAGCAATATTGCAAAACAAGTTGCACGTTTGTATCGCCCGTTTTACCGTAGCGTAAGTTAAGCTTTTTAGGTCGGTTATTTAAACGAAGTCTAACTTAAAACGCGTGGGTTATTTTAAGAAGATAAATGCTTTTTTAGTCTCCTTTATATGCTTTCATAAAACTGTTCACAATAAATGGTGTCTAGATAAAACCTTTGGGCAAATTGAAAATGACTTAGAACACGATTTTGTTAACCACTGACTGAATCACGTTTAAATAACTGGCCCTTTGTGATCAAATTAATCACTCTGTCATTCGATGTTCTCATTCGTGAGATATCGATTTGACATTCGAAGACAAATTCCATATCTCCGCGCGTCCACGCATGTACTGTTCTCTGCATCAACAACGGAGCAAGTGTTAGGTCCTTTCAAGCAAGGTAATTATTATTGCAACTTGTCTCGCAACTTTGTTGTGACACATGTTGCTGGAACAATTGCCTACTCTAACACATTGCAGTAAGTGATGTACTTAGGAGAATTAACGTCAACATAAATTTGCTATATAGAACGCAACTACTAGACTATGAATAGTTGCGAAAAAATTACCTTGTATAATGAAAAAGCCTTGGTAAGCTGAACCATCGGCATTCCAAACGGAGCGGTAATTTTGCAACATGAATAGTGACGTGTAACAAATCAACCTTACGACACTCGAAGGCTGATTTACACGATACGTTTCGTGCTGTTGATCTATCGCACGCGACAAAGATGAAACGTGTAAATCATCTGGCCTCAAGTTCAGCTTAGAACCGACCTGCTACTTATCCAGACAAAACTTAAACATCGTTACTCCTTACTTGGCGAACACTGAGTTTCTTGTTGTGTACAGACACCAGCTGTTTAGGCGGTCTCTCGCCGCTGAAGATCTTTACCCAGAAGCCAGAAAAATCTTTCTGTGTTTCACCAGCATACCAGTGCAGTTGAGTCTTGCTAGTAATTTCATTTGTTAAATTGTGTTTGTACACTTTCACTATAACGCAACATTAAAAGATATGTTCACTGAAGTAAAAAGCATGAGAGACGAGTACCACACGTAACCCAAGCTCACGAGTGTGAATTGTTGAAGCGTAATATTAAGGACGTGTCCACTGATTGTATTCCAGAATAAGAATACGCAAAAGTTTAGTTGCAAATCTCTTGTGCCGTAATTTCCCCAATTCTGGACCACTTAAACGCTACATACAGCGGAATATTTTATTTCAAGCAGATTTCTAGATATTGCAATGCAATGAACGCCAAAATAAGTGATTTCTAGAGTTAATTCCATTTATTCTTTATATTCCGGTTTACGTTCATTCGAACACGCCCGAAATAGGCCATTTTCGAGTTGCCTCAAGCCTCTGTTCCAAAGCTAGGTTAAGTACGAAGCCATTGATATGCAAATGATTTTTTTCTCATCCAAATAACACTTATTATCACAACGAAGGTTTTGCACTTAGCCTCGTTTTGAAAGTGAGAGTTTTTGGAACTCGGAAATGGTCTGCGATAGGACCCTATATAAGGATTCTGCCGATAGCTGTTTAGGAGTCAAAATGGCAAAGAAAAAGTAGCAGAGTTCCTCACCATGTCTCTTATAAATGATACACCATTATAATTTAATGTTAGGCAAAAACAGTTCACACTGAAGAGAGTGCGCCACTTGTGCAGGCAAAAGCTAAAATGGCTCGTTCCTTGAATTACCTTAAAATACCTCCATGGCAAAAAAGGACACGAAATGAACATTAAAACAAAATGAACTGGACAGCCGTGACACAGTCCTATTAACCCTTTCACTCCTTAACTTTTGAGTCTGTGGATCAAATCCTATGGTGTGACCATTCAAATGAAACCTCTTCAGCAGTACTTTCACATGGTACTATTTATTTAGTACGTTGTTTTAACTTTTGAGTCTGTGGATCAAATCCTATGGTGTGTCCATTCAAATGAAACCTCTTCAGCAGTACTTTCACATGGTGCTATTTATTTAGTATGTTGTTCTAACTGTGGATCAAATCCTATGGTGTGTCCATTCAAATGAAACCTCTTCGAGCAGTACTTTCACATGGTACTATTTATTTAGTACGTTGTTCTAACTTTTGAGTCTGTGGATCAAATCCTGTGGTGTGACCATTCAAATGTAGCCTGTTCCAGGCTCTCAGATAAGCGGACCCGACTATTTCGGAGCCTGGAAAAGGCTAATTCAAATGAAACCTACTCTGACAGTACTTTCACATGGTAGTGTTTTTCGGCATTTCACAACACAAAATTTGAATATTTTCTTGGATTTTGACGTTGACCACTTTTGTGAAGGTAAGGGTTATTGTTAGGTTCTCATCAGTGAAAAAGTTTGGACCCTATAAAAACGAATCCAACGCTCTCCGACAATGACCAACAAGTCGGGCTCGTTTACCTTCGAGTCCTTACAGCGGACTTGCGTACATATAGTATACCAAACCCAGATCCGTCTGAATTATTTGCTACTGCTTAACAAAGAATTGAAGTAGCACAGTTTCAAAAAAGGGTAAACAAACATCACATTACCTGTTTGGGGAAGCATTTGTTTCTCCTGGTTAAAGACTCGCTTTAAAGTGTTCTGATCAGGGATTTCGAGAATCCTAGAGATTGGCCGCTCTTCCTCTTGACTAAGATAAACCTAGGGTAAGAGAGATTAGGCCTTTTTTAAAAAATAACATAATACTCTTTCTTGTCCCTCCAAAATTTTGCATAAGCATTGTTTTCAATTTCTCTTGGGGTGATTGTGAGTACCAAGAGCAATTGAAAACAATTTGGAGGGACAATAAAGAGTATTGTAAGTAGGTTTAGTATGATCGTCCGGGTGAACGTAGTCCTGAGTAGGACTGTTGTTGACAGTGAAAGAGTATTGTGGTATTAATTTTTTTTGAAAAAGGCGTATTCAATGTACATATTTGTGGATAGCATTACTAGGCCTCTGTTGCATACAAAAGATGCATCATGACAGAAAGAAGTTGAAAGCAATGGCGGATATCACATAAAAGGTACGAAATAATGTACCCTGGATACCTAAGACTTTCTACGCGCAGTTTACCGTTTCTCGCTGCATCGGCGCTTTCTGCTTTGCCTTCGGCCGAAGAAGTGTCGGTCTCCAACCGAATTCGAAGCGTCTCGTCGCGTGCGATAAAAAAAAAAAACACACTCTGGAACCTCAGGTAGAAATAGCGCGTTATTAAGAGAGCCTTCATCAACGGAGACGGGAGTGAAAGACGTCGCCTTACTTGGGAGTCGAACTTCAGAAAGATCCCAACTCTTTTAAGTGTACAGTGCAAACAAAGTAACTAGAGAATTAATTGCTATGAACGGCGCTTAGGATAAAAAAGACTAAGGAAATTAAAAAACAACGACGCTGACTGCAGCAAAAATGTCACTTGAGAAGTAAATTTGTGCTGTTTAACGTTAAACATCACCGCGGTTATCCCAGCTCCTTCATTGGTCAAATGAACGCAAATTTCCTGAAGTTGAATTCTAAGGGAGTTTATACAATTTCACATAGAGAAAGAACAAAATTCGTTGCCATGCGTTTTCCGTAATCTTTCAAATAAGGCCCGCTTCTCTATATCGTCCATCTCTCCATTGAACCCCTGCTCTTTTAAACAGTCAAAATTTATCACGCGCTCCGCCCGTCTGTAAAGTCCCGCTCCCATTGGTACGATTTCAACTGTTACACTAAGCAATCACCTGCCTGCAAACATATTAGTTACTCCGTGGATGGAGAGAAGCGACGACCGGAACTACGTCTGCGTTCGCAGGCTAACCAATCATGAAATAGAGCGGTTTTCATTTGAGTGTCTAAAGGTAATTGGTTTTGCGTTTACTACGCTACGTGATTGGCTTAAAAGATTCGCGCCACTTTTTAATCCAATCAGAAGGAAAACCAAAACCAATTGTGTCACGCTCGCATGCATTTTCCCGCGCTTTGCGTCAGCTACATGTAATTACTTCGAGTTTTAATTGGTTCACTGTATTGTCTGTGTCCTTTGTGATTGGCTAGAGTAATTTCTTTGGTTTTGGTTTTACGATACTCAAATGAAAACCGCTCTATAACAAAATTCTCCGAAAACAACTGTATTCCATGAAAATAAGTCAATCAATAAAAAAAAGTTCATAATGCCGTACAGATCAGTTCATAAGTAGAGAATACTTCATGGAAAGTGCTGGCGTACGGTATTTACGTACGAGTTGTTGACGTATCAGAAATCGAACGAGTGAGCGCAGCGAACGAGTAAGATTTCTGATACAAAAACAACGAGTGCGTAAATACCGTACAAAGCACTTTCCATGTGGTATTGTGTTTATTATATACATACTGAGTCATTCATCATTTTGCGGGCCTTTTTATTTTAAATCTTTCAAAAATGCTAAAATTTGCCGCTACACACTTACCGCAAAATGACAACGAAAACGAAGTACCAGCTTTTTAGTAAAAACGTTTGTTAAAAACATAAATGACGGTGAGGATATGAGGTTTAATCCAAGAACTATAAGTAATCTTAACTGTTTGTTCTCAATGCACAATTGAAAATGAGTGAATTTAAGTAAAATGGCCGGTTTCAATATAAGCTTAAGCTTAAATGAAAGGCAAAGTAGCTCCGACAAAAAGCACAACAAAAGCTTACGTCTCGTTCTGTTTATCCCTTTCCGCTGTTGTTTCGCCGGCTCTCTACCGTATTTTTTTATCGACAGTGAAACAAACGAAACTATTCCACTCCATTTCCGAAATGTTTTACTCCTTGAGTAAAACTTTTCTCGTTGATAAATGTGTGCGAAGCGGCGCTGCAAGCTGCAATAGAAGGCGGGAATTTTGGCGCGAAACTCGCACACCTCTGTGGCTTCTGATTGGACGTATCATTTTTCTCACACGTGAAAAAACATCGTTCGCGATTCTGATTGGACGTATCGTTTTTTTCACGTGTGAAAACCATCGTTCGCTCCTCTGATTGGCTATAACTAATTTGCGTACGAAAATTTACGACATAGCTTTTTGGTGAGTATTTCTCAGTATGTATATAATAATACTGCTTAGGAAATGAACTAAAAAGGGTTGCCGCTAGGTTTTTAAATATCACCCCCTCCCCCACCCCAAATGCAAACACACTCTCTCTCTAATAAGCCTTCTACGAAAAGCGCCTTCTCTCCCCTTAAAATATCTGGGGAAAAAATACGCCCCAGGTTGGCTTATTGAGGAGGTTATTGTGTGTTGTCCATAAAAAGATAAACGTGCATAGTAACGTATTACAATTGTTGCTTTGGCAGATTTTGCAAACACAATGCAACGTACAACGAGAACGCGAAAGCTCGCGAAAAGGACAGAACACGACTTTCGGTACTCAATTTGCCGTTCTGCCATTGGTCATTTCGGTTTTCAAATCTGCGCGCCCCTACGTCATTCTCATCACGTTGTCTCAGTGAAATTGCCATACAGTTTACCTCGTCAGGCTGTCGCTGAACCACCACTTTGTCCACATCATTTTTCTTGCTAACTTTGACAAAATACTTGACCTTGCCATAGATGATTGGTTTCGTGTCAAGCTTGACAACATCTCCTGTTTTATAAACCTGCACACCAGAGCTGGTGGTCACTCGTAGAACGCCGTAGCGAACATCACCTGAGTTCGGCTGTTGGGAGTTTGGCAGTTGAGATTCGAAACTAACCTGATGTAATAAAAAATCGTGCGTATCCATTGATTAGCTCTTTCACTTTTGGAGTCAATTATGCAGGTAATTAATGTGGTTCTATCACCCGGCCCCGTGTACGTGTAAGGAAATCAATTTAGGTTTCTGGGAAACTGCCCACCTACCCCTCCCCTAAGCCATCATTTTGCCCTAAGTGAGAGTAAGTGTTAATGTTAGCTTAGGGGAGGGGAAGGTGGGCAGTTTCTCAGAGATCTAAATTGCTCCGTGTAAGGTAATCCGGATTCCGGAATCCGCAAATTTTCTTTCATGTGAAATATGGAATCCTGGGCTTTGGAATCCGGAATTCAACTCAAGGAATCCGGAATCCCACTAAGGGTTGGAATCCGGAATCCCAGTTACACTGACAAGAATCCAGAATCCAGTACCTAAAATCCAGAATCCACAGCGTGGAATCCAGAACCCAAGACTGTCTTGGATTACCTAACCTGGGGCGACTTCTAACTTTGGATCCGTTAGCGATCATTATACGTTTCTGGGAAACTGCGTACCAACCCCTCCCTTAAGCCAAAATTTTGTCCAAAGTGAAAAATAAGTGTTAATGTTGGCTTAGGGGAGGGGTATGTGGGCAATTAAGAAACGTATTATCATCTTCTGGGTGAATATATAACATTAATTTGCTACAAGCCAGTTAAATGAAACATCTTGTCAGTACTTTCAAAAATTGCTATAATTTCGACTTTAAGTATTTTACAAAACGACATTTCTTTCTTTTGTTTTCGTAAGGGACAAACGGTAACAACAGATGTCGTTGTAACAGTCAGAAACCATTCTCTAAATATCATTGACTAGGTAAAGAATTAAGATTTTTCCTGATTTTCAGCAAATCTGCCGACTTTCCCAAATTTTGAAAACCTTTTGTTTTTTCCTAAATTTCTTTTCCTCGAAAGAGACAACTCCGAACAAAATTCTTGAATATTCCTCAAACCTTGGTCACTTACCTCAAAGGAGAGGGATAGTTAAACGTATCGAGGGAGGGGGGGTACTTAACAAAATTTCATACGGGGAGGCTCCGCTCCGAAGTCCGCGGACCCCTCTAAATGAACCATCTTTTATATATGAATAAGCCACTAAACCAGAAAGCTTTCTTTTCTTTTTCACAGCCATACAATGCGCTTGTTAGCCCCTTCAGATCTTATCACAGACCGCAATGACAGATTTCCCTACCCCTTTTGTATACTTCAATCGACGTTAATAACCTTACCCTTTCTTAGAAGCCTGCAAAAGGTAGCCCTTTCGGGCGGAGCCTCCCCGAATAGGCCATTATAGGAAGTACCCTCCCCCCACAGGGGGCGTAACAGCATGTTTTCCAGAAATCCTTTCATAGTCTCACCTCCTTATCAAGCTCTCGATGGCATTTTTCAAGCCATGTTCTGAATTCTTGCGGTAGCCTTCTTTCAGTGGATGCATCTTCCAGCGCTGTAGATAAGTCCTTCCTTTCATCCAACAGAATCTTCAGCTTGTTATTAGATACTGGAGTATGTCGGTTGAAAAACAGGATTCCCTTCAACCTGCGATAGCAGCTATCCGGGACAACGTCTTTCTGCCTTTTGGATCGTTGAGCGGGCGAAGTACAAAATTCCATCCTTTTAGGGAAAAAGAAATATGAAAGAAAAAGAACATTTTCTTCTGTCTAGCGGCTTTACTAAAGTCACTTTAATCGATGCTTGACATTGCTTTGGTAATTTAGAAACGACTGGAACACGTTTTTCGGCACTTGGAGGCGGCTTGCGTTTTTCTTTACGTCTCGGTAAGCGTTGTACGTGTCCCCGTGAATGTCATCATTTTCTCACCTTGGACAGTCGCTGTATGTGTATCGAGGTCCGATCGTTTCAGTTTTTCTGCTGAGTGCGCACACCAATTCTGAAACTGTTTCTTAATGCGCAGGTACATGTAACTGCCTTAATAATATACATGAAAAAATTCTTGAAACTGATTGGCTGAGAGCAATGCAGGTTTTAGTAAACACAGAGCAAAACGAGGAAAACAATGCAAAAACAAGGAAATAAAATGCCAATATCTCAAAGCACTGTGATTTGCAAATAAACAATAGGAATACATAAGAACCAATCAGGTACCGCAAAGAGATTGTTCCCGAGAATAGGTCGGTTAGTGTCCAATTGCATTGTGGGACTGTTTTGGAGACGAATTTTGATCCAGCAAATTTTCTCATGTATATTATTTTCTCGTTCAATGTGAAATTTATTTGCCGAGGTCGTATGATTACCTGTACTGAGAAGACTTGGTTTAGAAACCAAACTAAACTTGTGTGCCTTACTTGTGAACATACGACAGAGGCGCCAGTCTTCCTTGCCAGAAACATTCAAATATTGGCTCCTGTTCGTCATCTTCCAGGTCATCAGGCCGGGGCAAGGTCTCTTGCCCTGACTCGTGGGGGAAATACATCAACACGCCCTAATGTGGAGAAGAAAAATAGGAAGTGAAATGTTGAATTGAAAAATCCACACTTACATTGCTGGTCACTTTATATATACTGATCACAGTCAGAGTTGTCCGCAAGCTTCGGCGACCGGTGAAAATCACCGTTTATTCGTCACGCAAACGCTGACTATTCACAGAAAATAAAAATAAATCTAAGTCACTGAACGAAAAAAAAAAACACATGATAAGGAACAAAGAAAACGTGGGTAAAAAATGGTGTCAAACCTACTGCTAAATTTCTATCCCCAGTAGCTCAAAATCCACTGAAACTATTCCTGAGGGCCTCCGGAAAACTATAGTCCCTTTCCCTTCTCTGTCGGACCCCTCCCGCACCTGCGCGAACAAGTTCGCACAAGAGTGGCGCAGTGGAGAAAGCAAGTGGTTTGCCTCGTACCAGCGTCGCCCGGGATTGAATTCGAGAAAAACGCCATATGTGGGTTTTCTTTTTTTCTGTTGTTGTTGTTGTCTTTTGCCCGGTTACTCCTTTTTCCCTCTCTGCTCTAAATCAGAAAAAAAATCCTAAATACCATGTGGAAAGGTAGATAAGAGCTCTTCCACTAAATCGTTACTTACAATTGCGGTCGACGAATGGTATCGCACTTCAAACTGATGAGACTGTATGGGACAACTTTGATTGAAAGGGTATTGAGACACGTATCTGGCGTCCCAGCAGATTTTGCGGGGGCGAATCATCAATTCAGTTGCAAGAGAGGGAAGATTAATTATTACTGGCTCATACATTTATAGTGTCCGCTTTATTTATTCATTTATTTAGCTTGAGGGCCGGCCACGCAAGGTACAGTGTAGGTAAAACTAGATACCTGTACGGTTTGATGGGGATCCAAATCAGGAACTTTCATCGTAAGTGAGAATGGAAACCACGCTTTAGCTCTGGTCTGGTACAGACTTTCAATGTCATCCTCGATGTCGCGAAGATTAAAATATGTCTTTTGGTTGGTGTTTCGGCCATCATCTATGATCAGCCTAATATCCACCTTAAGAAATGAGCTTAATCCCAACTCCGGCTGGAAAAAAAATTAATGCTTTATTCATAAAAATTTTCCCACTTGTCCACTAACTCAATAAAAGTAAAAGTTAAAAAAAGCTACTGTTCACGACAAAATTGTTACCAATGTTTTTTCATGAGGAGGGCATTGTGGTTCTTTGTGATTGGGCTTATTGCAAGAGACAACTATTGTGTAAGCATGTTTCAGCAGTCCTCTTGCAGCCCCTATCGTCTGACAACAATCGACTGACAACAACGATTCTGATTTAACCCATCAAAACGTAACTTCAAGGGAAAAAGGCCATGCTCCACCGACCAAACAGTCCATGTGCACGAAATTGTCAAACGTGTTTTAACAGAATTTTTACCACCAGCTGTTCTTCGAAGTTAAAGTGGACAAATCCATATAAAGGAAAAACTATGAACACTTACAGGTATCCTGGAGTTTCCCAGGGAAGGAAGTTTCATGTTCCCTGAGCGACCTCTTTCGCCAAATAAGTAGAAGTGGTAAACGTGAGCCAGGTTCTTGGCAAGACTGTTTCCACCGTCCTCCTGAATAGATTCGATGTGTAGATCTCTAATACCCGTAATCACAATCATTGTAAATTGATTGTATGCCGCCTCTCTTTCAATCTGCGTGAATTTCAAACAGTCAACGTGAGTTGCAAGAAAACAAGTAATAGATCAAACTCAATGGAGCCTTCAACGGTTTTTTCCAAGCTTTGATAAAGACCATAAAGCGATGCTCCATTTACATCGCTCCATTTACATCATTTAACTGCCGCCCGGTTAGCTCAATGGGATAAGCGCCGGTCTGCTGAGCGGGAGGCCGTAGGTTCAAACCCCGGCCGGACCAACACTCAGGGTCTTCAAATAACTGAGGAGAAAGTGCTGCCTTTGTAATAACATCTGCAAACGGTTTGTCTTTCTAGTCTTCTCAGATAAGGACGATAAACCGTAGGCCCCGTCTCACAAGCCCTAGCACATGTAATAAAAAATCTGTTGGACGTTAAAGAACCCACACACTCTTCATAAAGAGTAGGGCACGTAGTACCCGGTGTAGTGGTCTATCTCACTTTGCACTCATGTATGGGGGCATCATTACTCATTTCTTCATTACTTGTAAACTGCAACTTAAGCAGTCTGGCAAAGTCCCCCAGCCATTGTTGTAAATTATCCCTGAAAAACCCTGAGGGGAGTGGATAATATGATATTTACATTTACATTTACATTTACACTGCTGGTGAGAGGGCCTTAAAATTATTAAATGACCTCCGCGTTGCCGGTGCGTTGCTCTACCAACTGAGCTATGAAGTCTTGGTTTGTGATTTAGTGAGACTGAGATGACGAGGCTTTTTTGAGACATCTTTTAATTTTAGGTTTACCCAAAAGTCGTGCTACGACAACTGAGCGAGAGGTGCGCAAAATGTGAGCGATGCGTGAAAACCAAGAACAAAGCGCGAGGATCGTTTTCCTATACAAAAAAGCTTAACAAACTTACAACATCCTTCAAGCACCGCTTTTCTTCCTCAGTTTCAAGAGTGCTAGTATCACTTGGGTTGCGAATCCATCTGTAGTCTTCAAATACTGGTTTCCCCTCCTTTGCCCTCTGTTGAAGTTTCTCCTGAAAACGACACATAAATAAACAAATAAATAAATTCAGTCGAACCTCCCCGGTACGCGACCACCCAAAATGCGACGATTGAGTGGTCGCTTTCAGGAGGTGGTCACTCACGGGAATTAACCTACAGGGCTGGGTTCTTCAAAGCAGGGTTAAGATAACCCAGAGTTAGTGCAAAATTTCAATTCAGATTAGAAGGCTTAAAAGCAAATTCAGTTTTATCCTTTTGGTCCACAATTTGATGATTTGATGCTGTGAAAAGAATCGACAAAATTATCCTAAAAAATGCTTTTGAACAAAAGAAATAGAAACCTGGGTTAACCCAGGGTTAGCGCCAATCGGCCTTCGAACAACTGGGCCCAGGGGGTCTTTTCCCTGTCTCTTTTCCCTGAAGAAGTTCCGACACATCTACTACAGAATTTATTGCATGCAATTTCTTAGTTACGATTATTATCAATATGTGTGGTTCCATGTTGTTCGGGGAAAGTTCTTTGTCTACTTTGAGAGGCTTATTGTACATACAGCGAACAAAGAGATACCACCATGCGCAAACGGTCGCTTACAAGAGGTTAACAACAAAGTAAAATTATAAAACCGTTAGCCGCCACAGTCGCTTACGAGAGGTTTTAATTTTAGGGCTTTGACAGGTGTTTTGGATAGGTGGCCGCTTACGAGAGGTGGTCGTACATAGAGGACATGAAATTTCCACTGTAAATATATATTTTCTAAGGGAAAAAGAAGTTGTTATGTTAAATCGAATAAAGTTCCTTTAAGTAAAGAATATATTAATAATTAGACTTACCTTGGATATGGTGATTTCAGTCACATAAGGACACTCCTCTTTCTTGGTGATCACTTTGATGCGGTTGCCAAGGTAAAAACCCTGTGAAGAAAAACATTTCAATCACATGTATCATGGTCCTGTACGGCGGTGAACCGGCTCTGATTTGTTCAGAGGATGCAATATTAGGGATCTTAAGCAAAAGCTGTTTATGAGCGACCCACGTCAAGCTTAACGCTACCAGCCTGCGGACACAGACGTAATAAATATCTACTTCACGCTGGCTCCGGCCTAGGTTTATAATATTTCAGACCATTGTACATGATTGTATAATGGCGATACTTGCAGGATTTTGAATTATTATCAAGAGATTGTCAGAGATTTTTGACTCATTCTCAGTCAAGGATGTGTTTGTACAATCGATTCACCAAATTAAATTAAAATAAATCGCGAGTCTGAGTGCGATGTCATAAAGCTATACTATTTTCCTTTCCCTGTAGCGATTATCTTGTCCAGGTTTTGTTTATGTCACCTACTACCGTGTTTTATAAAGCGAAACCAAAGGCCCACATAATATACGTAGCTCAAGAAGCCGTTGCTTCACAAAGAAGTCAGCGTTCAACATCACAGGAAACCTTCTTATAGTCGTGAAATTCACATTCCAAGGCGTATTTAGAAACACTCGCCAAAATCCTAGATATGCCAGCGCGCGAGGAGTCTCTTGAGCTGTATTCTGTCTTTTGATTAGCCTGTTCCAGGCTCTCAGATAGTGGGGAAGACGCGAAAGTAAAAGGTACGCGAACAGTTGGCGGGCCGTTTTATTTTCGTGTTTGCGCTTTCTCAATTCAGCGGACCCGACTATCTCGGAGCCCGGAACAGGCTATGTTTTGATCTGACAACCTCGTTCCCAGGGTTCTCTCCTGGGAACGAGGTTGTTGATCTGATTGATCAACACCAAAACAAAAGGTTTTACGTCATGGAAATCGTTGTCCCGCTAGGGTTCGCAGACGTTACTTTTCGGGTGGAACACACGGAGAGAAGCGGCTACCAGCAATACGTCTGTGTCCGCACGCTATAACACTACCTAATTTGTATTGCAAAGTGATTTTAATCTTATAAAGGCGATTTGCCCGAAAACGTGGACAAAAACCACTGCCAAAGCATGCAAAAAGTCCATTTCCCGTTGACGTACGTTAAATAGTATCATTTGTAATGGCGTTCCCTATTTTCAGTCTATACTGTTAAAAGATAATTTGAAAATTGAATTTAAAGCAATTCAATTTTTTTCTTGTGACTTACTGCTTGAGTAGCTCCTACTCCAAACTTTGAAATAGCACCATCCAAATAAGCAGGAATGAGATCAACTTCTTCCTTCTCAAGCCCACGATCAGCTTGTGACAAAAAGTATGTAGCAAACGCCTTGAGTCCCTCATATGACATACCTTCTCCATTGTCAAATATTGCAACCAGTTTCTGTCAGGAACAAGAATAAAAACATTGTCTCTTTTACCATTTTTTACATTTATCATTTCTAAACAGCTCTGTTTTACACAGAGGGAGAAAAGGTCATGAGTTAATTAAAAATGGCTAATGACAGCAACGCCATAGTTACAAACATTTCCGTGGCCAGTTTGCTCTCCGCCCAGATTGTACTTAACTTGTAAAGAACATGTGGCCTGCGAGCAAGCTTTTCATTTGGGGGATATCATGAAAAGTAGACGCGCGAGAGGCACGCGAGAGGAGACGCGAAAGCGGGGGGTAGGGAAGAGAAAGGAGAGCTCCTTTCCTCGGCCCCTCGCGGCTCCGACAATCGCTCGCGCGTTCTCGCGCGGCTCGAGTTCCCTAGCCCAAATAGGAAAGCTTACTCGCAGGCTAAAGAACATGAGACTGAAGGGGTCTAAAATTAAGGCATCAACCTTGTACCAGAGGGTTTGTAAAGATTTTTGGATCCAAAGTTCAGACTTTTCCCAGACTTTTCCAAAGCAATAATTTCTTTTTCCGGACTCAAATAAATAGGTGTTAAATAGGTGATCAATAAAGACCTTAAAACAATGAAGGAACAAAGCTTTTTCCATGATGCGCTGCAAACGTACAGGTGAGATTGAATAAGATTTAACCAGCACGAAAAAAAAGTCTCACTTGTAAAGCACTTATTGTAACTTTCAAAAAACTCAAGACTATTTACCATTTTTTCAAGACTATCTCTATTTTCCAGACTTTCTCCAGGTCTGAAAAATTGTTGGGGGAAAATAATTTCGAGACTTTTTCAAGAATACAAGACTCTGTATGAACCCTGATCACAGAAACCGCAAACACAGAGCACCCAAGGAGCCAAACACACAAGGGCACTCTTCTTTTAGCCTTGCAAACTCAAGATACATACTCTGACCTGGAATTACTCCACTTCCTTGCAATTTTACTTACATCTCTAAGAAAGATATGAACGTCAATAATTCTCTCTGTGTCCTTGGTATTATTTATGCTGGTTGCTTGAATGGAGTTATCAATAAACTCACAGAATGCTTGGTAGCTAGCTGTAAATAAAACAAAATGTCAAGAATTTTCCCTTTATTACAAAGTGACATTATTTAAGGATACACAAAGCATATAAAATGCAGTTGTCACTTCAGACATGAACTACTAGTTGTCCAAGACACGGCTGTCACTAAGATTTCAAGTTGACACATAAATACAACAAGTTGGCAGGGAATTAAACAGCTAGCAATTTTCCTTTTGGTTTTATTTTTCCTCTACTTCCACAGAAAGTAGCTGGGATTCATGTTCCTTGTTGCCGGGGGAAATTCCCAGCTTCCAGCCATTAATGACAGCCCTGACTCAGACTCAGTGATGCACAAGGGTCCACCAGGGTGCAAAGAAAGTCAGTTTTAGAGCTTTCCATTAGGGCAAGGTGTAGTCAACATGTACCAGCCCAAAAGTCACCTCAACTAGCCCCTTCCTCCCCCCCACCCCACCCCCACAAAAAAATTGATGAATAGGATTGATTACAGTTCATTGAATACATGCTCTTCTGTAATTTTCCCAAAAAAATTTGCTTGCCTGTCAGGCATGTAAATAACAGGATTCACTACCCTGACAGCAAAATCCACCAGCTGCTGGCTATCAGACATGATTTTCATTGCATGCTGGTCCATGGGTTGCTACTACAGCACAGACTTTGTAAGTATCTAGCATTTGAGTTGTCATGGTCGTGCTAATAGCAATCATTGTTCTTTGAACAACTTAGTCAAGGTCTTAGTGCCAGCCAACACAATCCTATCACTTAAAAAGACCTACAGTTAAAGCCTGTGTAGCATGCACCAGTCTAGTTTTTTCTGGGTGAAGGGAGAAATTTTGCATGCACAAGAGGGGAGAAAAGAAGAGGAGGCATATTTGCGTGTTACCCTGATGCAATTTATAAAAAAAAATAAATATCCAAAACTAACAGACCTAGTTACATGTAGTTGGCATTTCAATCTGCCAGACTGGCACTCTAACAGCAGAGCCAACCAGACAATGGTTGAGTCATTACAAACTTGTTCTTACCACTAAAATGATAATTGCCACTTTGCGTGAGTGCATTTGGATGCACGTCATATCGCATCAGTTCTGAATGTGGTTTATCCAGCTTATAAGATTCTTCACTTGAGCCACGGACCTTCAGTATTAGAAAGACAGGAAAGAAAAGAAGCAGTTGGTCCTTCAGTAAGTAAACATAACTTGCAACAGCCCATAAACTGAAGGGGTTAAATAGCTTGACCCTTTCTTTCCTAGACCACATTATGTCACATGCGTTTGTCATTCTAACTTTTAAAGCTGTGAACAAGACCCTACTGCATTGCTATTCATAACAAATGAATCCTCTTTAACAGAACTTTAATTTGCTTACAATTTCCTTCAATATTGTATACACCCAGCCGCAATCTTAGATCCTCTAATAGAAATTTATTAGTTAAACCCTATTTTAATCTCAATGGGTTATTCCAGAAAAAATCCACACCCCCGACGGATGGGGTCCTTTTTAACCCCCCTCTCACCTGGATTTCCTGAAGCACAAGACCCCCCCCTCCCAACTGGATTTCCAAGGTGGAAGACCCCCTCCCGCCTGGATTTCCGGGGAAAAAATAAAAGGCTTAAATTTAATTTATTTTTAATGGAAAATACACGCAAAACACGTCTAAATGTTTTTGTTTTAATTTCTAAAGCTTCAGCTTATATTAAACTACTTAATTCTATCGCGTGGAACTGAAAACGAAAGGAGCAAAAAACAAAAATGCGAACGACACCTGAACGAGTGTTTACATAATTTCTTAGCTTATAAAAATCACTCTTCGCGCGCGGGCTCTGGGTACGAGTAGAAATGTGTCAGGCGTTTGACGCTCTTCGTGACAACAACGTTGCGACGAGTTCCTTCAGGCCCGTTCTTTAGTATCTTTTTCGCGTTTTCTGCTATAAAAGGACCTGTAAAGCAACTTAGATTATCATTTATGTCAGGTGAGAAATATATGAACAAAACATTTTGACTATTTTCAGGGTCTGAAAGCGCTTAAGTGTCATCGAACTAAACGTTTGATTTGTATCAACTATCGGTCGAAATGACCCCTGCAGAAGACTTTTTTAAGGTCAACCCCTCCCGCCTGGATTTCCGGAGTCTCGACCCCCCCCGCGAGAATTTCCAGAATCCCATCCGTCGGGGGTTATGCGAGCTTATGAATCATGATGTTTTTATTTGTTATCTGATTTTTTATCCATTGTATACATTTATTTATTTTGTAGTTAGCGTCTAGTTTTAATGTCAATTTCTTGTGATTATTTTTACTTTTTAGTTTTATCTAATTTTTGTAAACAGTGCCTTTGAATCTCGTAGAAAAGGCGCTATATAAATGGATTATTATTATTATTATTATTATTATTATTATTATTACAACACTGTATTCACAGTTATTCTTCATTTCTTTGCCAATTTCCTCTTAGAGAAAGTACATTTTAGAGACAGAACTTTCACTGAGTGAATTCTGGTGTTTTTGGAAAGGTACCAATACATGTAAATGGATGTTTCACTGCGTAATATTTTTTGCCATACATACCAGACACCATGTTTCAAGTCTACTGTTTTTAACTGTATAGAAATTTGAGGAATCCAGCTCATTGAAATCACCATCGCTGATAGTGAAGTTCTTTAAAATGAAAAAATAAATAAAATAAGAATAACAAAATCAGTTCTGTGAAATAAAAATTGAAAACAACTAAAAAAAAATTATTAGTGAAGAATAAGAAAGGACTTTAGCTAACTCCTAACGAGTCTAGAATATAGGGCAGAAATTGACTTATGGGGGTGACAAAGTTATTGGTGACTGAGTAGTTCAGAAAGAATTCCAACTGGCCAGAAGTAAAGCACCTGCAGGCCATTTACAAGCACGACTGAAGAGCTGAGCTTAGGGCTACCAAGACCCAGGGGTACTCACTTATCATGACCTTGAGTCTTAAACTGGGTATATAACTTCACAATTAAGTCATGTTAGTTAAAAATTTGTATGCAAAAAGAAGTGAATCAGGGTGATAAAATGAGGTAGGTTGCTTGTGTTGAACAGGGTAGCAAAATGAATGATATTTTTCTTAAACAGGGTAAGGGTTTAAATGCCTTGGCAGCACACCACTATAAAAGCTTCCTTTAAGCTAACCCCCAAAAGCAACCCCCTCCCCTGCCGTTTGCCACAAAAGAACAACCTCAACTAGTGATCAGGGTGGGAATAATGTACATGTACAGGTGGGAGAACTCAGTTCAAACCCAGCCCTCTAAACTACTTAGTCATGCTGGGTATAGCTTTTCAAGATCCCAGGAAGAAACATTTACTAACCTCTGGCAAATGGGGAAACAAAGACTTGACTTGTGTTCTAAATTCATCAAAAGTGCAGTCTCTTTCAATCTTCAAGGTCTTGTCAGCATTCCCACAAGAAAGCAAGACATTTAGTTCAGCCATAAAGCCACTGGCCTGTGATTGGCACTGCCAATTCCTGAATAAACAAAATATGAAGACAAATACAAACTAAGACAAAAAGGAAATTAATCTGAAGACAAAATAGCCAAATTTCTGACTAAAACTGAACAGAAGAAAGGGAAGAAAAAATTGTATGTACTTTTTGGACAGAACTGTTTATATCCTGAAACCATGCCAACAAAAAATTTCCATGTTTTAAAGAAAGTCTACGAGAAGGTGAGGTTGCTTAAGAACTTAGAAATATATTTTGAAAGAATAATAAAACAATATCATTGAATTTAGCTTTCATATGATGTGATCTCCTCTATCTCCAGAGTGTCAAGGCCTCGGAATCATCCTTAGCCTGAGAGAAAGCTCTCTGGGAGACTCCTTGAGTGGGGCACAAAAAGGAGAGAGAGCTTGCAGTCACATCTCAGAAGTTTGAATTCAACTTCCAGTGCCCCCTGTGGCTCCCCGTTGACTGAACTGTCAGATTTTGGGCAATCAGCATGGTGCAGAAATGAGCGCTGAATGTAAACAAACATTCAAAAGCACGTGAAGGATAAATTTTCCTTGAACAAATAAAGCCCTGAAAGTACACCCACAGTGCTGGGAACAACAGAAAATCGTTGAGTTCTCGGCGCCATAGTCAGGTCATTGACAAAAATGAGGATGCATTTCTTAATACTGAAGACCTGATTACAGAGGAACAGTTTACTTAAGTGAAAGTTGCGGAGTTGTGGCTGAGTGACGAAACAGATTTGAGGGTGCCAAATCAAGAAGGAAAACAACGAAAAAGTGGCAAGCCACTGCTAATACCTGCTAAAGCACTCAACATTGAGACAAGATATTTTGCAAGCTTTGAGGTTACCTCGATCTCAGAGTATCGTTCCGACAAATAATTGTTCTGAAGTTCTAGAAGTCCAGAATAGTTTATTAGGGAACTTAAGAACCACGACGACGGCTTTGTCAATGACGACCGGAAGTGAGATACCGTGCACTGCGGAAGCGCGGTTGACAAATTTCGTCATCGTGGTGTCGTCGACGACGCCAAATACAGTACAGTCACGTCGTCCTGCAGTCCACAAGCTTCGGCAGGTATAACTCCCTGTTTTTAAGCGATTTTTCAAGGGCTTTGTATTTTTTCACCTCGTAAATCCAGGTATCCTTTCTTTTTTCTGCTAACAAGCGATGTTGAAAAATTTGACTGATGAATTGTGTTTACTTCGAAGACAACACTGAGCTGTGCAGGCCGAGCGAGCGAACTCGTAAGTGACAAATTTATTTGTACGTATTTAGGTCAGGCAAATCATATATCTTTAATATAGAGGAAATGAACTTTATATAGAACACAGCTATCGCATCGGAATGTCTCTTTTTCCAAATCTAAACTCCGACAGACAATCGGACTCGGTCATGTCATTCGGGTTGAACGTTGAATAACCTTCGTATGGAAAGCAGAGATTTTTCCATTCGAAAAGGTCAGACAACACTAAAAATTCTTCATCGTCAATGAAAGTAGACGTACGGCTTATAAAATAAGATCTTGCATCGTCTTAAAAGACGCCTTTGCGAAAAAACGTTGTTGCGAACGAACATCACAGTTGTACTACTTCTACATGTTTGTTTACATTCAGTGTCGTCGTCGTCGACCTACCGATCGACTGCATCTTAAGTTTCCTTTTTCCCGCCGAAACTGACATTCTCGTTCCAGTCCTTTCCCAGTCAACAGACGTCGTCGTCGTGAACTTCGTCGTGGTTCTTAAGTTCCCTATTGATTCGTCTCTCTCCTTTATATAAAATGCACCACAAATTGACCAGAAATACACAGAACTGACTAACTCATCTGTTGCATAAGTCGCTAAAATAACTCATTTTTTTTCCTTTGCTAAATGTAAACTCTACCAAGCCATTTTTTGTTTGCTTCAAAGAAGCGATAGCATCAAGCAAATAACCCACCTTTACTATTATTTAAAAAGTGTGAAATGTATGAAAAAGTCTTTTCATAATTTAGAGGAATAATATAATATGTAAATGGTTTTCAAAGGTTTCATGCTATTGAAGATGTGTGGCCTGTCACCCCTCAGTTTCTCACAGTAATGATGTCGTTACCAAATTTCATCACCGCCGATAAGCATTTTGCATCGACCTTTTCAATTCAGAAATTCAAATTCCTGGGACCTGACTGCAAGTTATCTCTTATTTTTTCTACCCCAACCTATGCATGCAGCTTAAGGTTTGATAAGATACAACAGGTCTAAGTTTGATAAAACTGTTTAAAGGTAACTTAAGCAGGTCATCGACAACACAATCCCCAGGAGAGGGGAAAGAGGTCGTAGAGAACACCTGACAAGGGAAATGAGAAGACATCTTAATTTCACACGTAAAGTTAAGACCAATGAACGTCGCGGGCAAACACATTTCCTGTAAGTAAACTCAGGTAACTAGTAAATAAAAAAGATATTACGACTCCTCATCATATAACAACTATTTAGCTATTCATAAAGAACAGATGACGGGTGACTTATTAAGTTTAAATTATTCACACTTCTATCATAAAGCTAGTAGCAAAAGTTCACTTTGTTCGATCAGCTAATAATTAATTGCACACAGCGACCACATCAAAGTTTTTACACAAACCTGAAGATTTTCCAGCTCAGACATTAAAAATTAATATTTGAGGGACCTAAGCAACCGCCGCAGATCAGCAATAAATAAACAGTAAGCTTAAATCAGCTGTTTGGAGACGGGAAGCGAAACCGAAATGTTTTGAAAGGCGAAGATAAACAACGCGCTCGATCTCTGCAAGTGAAACAAAAAACTTTTTCTCGAGGCTTTTGCAGAAGACATACGAAGGTAAATACTTACTTTGCAAAGGTGCAAGAGGCTGAACTCGCTTGAAAAGAAATTGAAACTATGGCACCAACCGTGTCAACATGTGATAGGTCTTTGCAGCGTCCAGAGTTTGCAGCAGGCTAAACGCTGTCAAACCCTGCCGGGGAACCGAGCCTCTTTTTCCTGTCTTTTGTTTACACTTCCGGCCCGCCGATCACAAAGGTGGACGCTGATAAAATAATGAATAGATTTTGCGAACTGGAAAAAGCGAGTTATTTTGTCTTTTATACCAAAATTGAAACAGAGTAGGTGATCTGTTATGCAAACATCAATTTATTTCTCACTGAGCCTACACAACCACGACAAACTCGACAGACCAGTCAAGTGGAAGTGGCTCAGACTTGTCATAAGTTTCATCGCAGAACTCAGAGCGTCCCGCGCCACATTAGGTGGCGAAGCACTTTTTCAAGTCTAGGAGTGTCTGTGTTTTAAGGCACGATTGGAACCTCTCCCCTACGCGCTTTATGAATAAAATATGGTTATTTTTGCTTTCAAATGGCTTTGCAAGCTGCATTTTTTTTCGTGCTGAAAAGCGCTTAGTATCAAAGTGTAATCTCCATCTATGAGTGTCCCTAAGACCACCTCTCGTTAAAGTGACCACTTCCTTTAGGCCACCAACATCCAAAACATCATATTCGAACCTCTCGTAAGCCGCCGCGACCACCTTTTTAGATGACGGTGTTATAGCGGAGCTAGCCTGCGAACGGCAGACGTTTCTCCTCGCTCGTCGCCGCTGAGGGACGTTTCGCGAGGAGGAAACGTCCCTCCGTTCGCAGGCTATAGCGGAGCTAGCGCGCGCGCGAAGCGGAGCACCATGGCCAAGTAACCGTGCGCCCTTCGGCTCGTCCGCCCGTCCGTCCGCGCCACAGGATAACCAATTTGAAATGACCTTTTTTACTTTATGTGGAGCCTGCAACCTGTGTTTAACTTGGTGTTAGACGTCCATGATATGGTCATCTTGGCCATCCGGACTTCAGAGAGAAAAAACAACAACAATGAGTGTCTTTTTTTTTCCGTTGACTAAATTTCAATGTCTACCGGCTGACGTGGATAAAGAAGTAGAGCGAGAAATAAAAACGGCAAAGGAGACGGATTGGAATTTCATTAGAAATCGCAACATTAAAATTTCAAAGCATGCAGTGCTGACAAAATGAGACATGTTAGCGGCCAGTACGGTGAAAATGAGCGTCAGTGAAAAAGAAAAGAGAACAGGAACACAAGCAAAAAACGTTTTTGTGAAAACAAACGACATTTTCTCACCTCTCCTGGAAACATTCGGTCATTTGGTGCCACTATCTACAGAGGGATAAGATTTAGCCAGGTCTAATAGGAAAGCTCTATTTTTCTACTACACAGTCGACTCCCGATAACTCGAACCTTTAAGGGAAATCGAAAAAAGTTCGAGTTATTGGGAGTTCGAGTTATCGGGAGCTCGAAGAAAATAGCCGGAAGTAAGGGAAAAAACAGTTTGTACTGCACAGTGAACATTTTAATCACATTTAATTGTAGAAATGTTAAGTGAAAATTGAAAGATACTTCTAGATTATAAATCAGAGTGTAACTTTAACAGAACATTGCCTAGAGAGCATGCGTTTTACTGTTTTGAGAAGTAAACCTCTTTCGTGTTAGATTTGTGACAAACCGAATAAGCCTCCACTAGTAAACTATATGCGTACAACACGTCAATGGGAAATTCAAAATGCCATGAACGTTTCGAACGCTAGTACACTGTTTTTCCCGACTTTTTAAAGGCTCAAAACACGGTCTGAGTTATCGAGGGTAAAATTATATAGGAATGATCTGAGGGGAAACAAAAATCATGTAATACTAAATGCGAAGGCAACGAGATCGGCAAAAAACAAACAAACAAACAAAAAACAATAGTTTTAAGTAGAATAAAAACAACTTTCCAAGTGTACTGTATACTTTTTTGTACATTTCTTTGCCGTTGTTGTTGCACGACTACAACGTGAAAGTTTTTAGTTACACGTCCATATAATCTCTCATTTTAATTTGATCCGGCGTTTACATGATAGTTGGGGTGACCCGCCCCATGTTACCTCACCTATCTGGGCTCCCCCACCTCCATGTAAACTAGCCTGCGCGCAGACGAAATTAAACTCTGGTTAACTCCGTCTGCGAAACAGCGCCGAAATCCTTGTTCTGGACTTCCAGCTGTGTACCCAGATTTGAGTACGCGCCACGATTGGCCAGTTAAAAAAGGCCTTTGTTTTGTTTGTCGTGATCGCCAATCAGGTTGAAGGGGAATTCGAAACGCACTTCCGGTAATTCGTTGAGTGTGTTGGGGGTCCAGAACAAGGATTTCTGCGCTGCTTCGCAGACGGTACTAATCAGAGTTTAGTTATCGTCTGCACGCAGGCTACATGTAAACAGGCCCTAAACCTATTACATTTTTGCCGTCCTCGTTGGTCGCAGTCGTCGTTGCCTAAGCTCCGATCCCTATAGCTATTGCTTATGACGTCTTCATTATTAGATGTTCTCGGGGTCATTCAATTTTAAATCAGTCGCTTAACCTTTTCAATCAAATTAATGGCTGCAAAGGTCGCTAGGTTCGTTTTCATAAATTTGGATAGATCAAGAGAGAATGTGCCAAGTCTTGGCTCATTCAGTGACTCTTGGAAAATATATTTCCCAACAAATTCGCGTAACATCTTCGAGAATAAGCCTGCAGACAAAGTTTCAAATCTCCCAGTTGCCTTCGAACTCCGTCAAACCTCTATGTGACGGGCCCTCTATTGGACAGCATAGGGAGCTTTAGCATCAACGACCGCGACGGCAGCGAGAACGTCACTCTAAAAATGAATTCTTGTCATTTTCAAACTTTGTCGCGTTTATTGTTTCCCTGCTAGCAGAGGTCTCTCTCTCCTTCCTCATTCTTGCCTCGTCGTGAGAGACCTCTGCTAGCAGGGAAGTTCAATTATTGTCAAATGTACGCGAATTTCCCTGGAGTTGATTTCTTGGGGACCGCACTCAAGTTTAGAAAGCGAAAGAAAAATTCTTCATCGCATGTTTACGTCCTCCACCAAACGTGCAATAAGGCATTTTCACGTTGTAGTCGTGCACGTGTAAAGTTGTTGTTTTGCCTCATAAACCTATTCCTTTTTTGACGTTCTCGCTGCCGTCGCCGTCGTCGTTGGAGAAAGCTCTCTGGTCACCATCTCCCTGCGGGGCGTTCATCCCTTTCTTAGACAAAGCGGTCATTTCTCACGTTCCTCGAAAGTTGCCTTCAATATTTACTGTAAATTTATATTTTATATATTTTTAAAACCGGTATTGAGTAGTAATCTCTACTTAATTTTTTTTTACCTTCTCTAAGACAAAACGGAACTGATTTTTCAAACTTTGAAAAGTGAAAAAGGCCTGATTGTTTTTTCAAACCTAAAAATGTTTGTTTCAATTTCAGCCGATAATCGTTGCCAATTCATGAACTTTTTCTTCAATGGTCGTAAATATCTGCTTCGATGAGGACCAACTAACTACATTGGGTGTTAAGAATCAAAGTGTTTCAGTAATAGTACTGAGCTTTTAAAAACCCTGTACATTGGAGTGATTAGTGAGTGAAGAGTGATAAACTGGTATAGAAAGGTGTTTAGCATCAATTAGAAAATGACCAAAACAAAAAAAAAACGGAAAAAAAAAGACGAAACTGAATTTTTCCTTTGGACACCTTGAATCTGGTAGCTGAACTGCTTTTCATTTCGATAACAAAAGAAAAGCGATTTTTAAACCCGGATCTTTCAAAACTTGTCGTGAAAGGGAGTTACGTCACGCTGTAATATTGTCAAGAGCGATCAGGTAATCAATACTCCTTTAATATTGACTACAATATTTATAGATGAATTAATATGAACACTGATGATTAAGTACGCGGATTAGCATGTGGCAAAATCCCTTGGGGACCTTGGGTGAAATAAATGCTAATTTAGATTGCATGAAGTTGTTTATCAAGCGATAAACAACAACAGTCCTAACGCCGATTTATAAAGAAAAAATAACTGGTTTTATCCTTCAAGCACCGGAAAGAGTAACAGGTATGAATTCTAAATGAATATGACGTGGATATTCGACAGCGCCACTGCTGAGAGGAGCGGATATTCGTACGCGTCCCAGGACTGTTTCAGTTTGTTAACTAGTGACGCACATACACACATGTCCACACTTTCACAATTATCTGTTAACAATTGTTAATAGTAGGATGATCAAACATTCACAGAGACACTACGTAGTGGTCAGCCGTTTGTTTTTTTCTGCTTCATCGACCCGACCTTTAACACTGTCACGAGGCTCTCCTTCAGCTGTGATACTATTCAACACTTTATAAATCGAGGTTCTTTGCTGCCGCTCGATTTTTTTGGTTGTTTTCGCAGAATTATTTTTACTTAAGATGTCTACTATTCCCGACAGGTCAGGGAATAAAAACAGATTTCACTGGAAAACAGAGGAGGCGGAGTTGAGTGAAGGAGACGAAGACTCAGACATCTTCGATTCTATCAACATGGATGTTACGAGTGACCGTGGCGAAAGGTATGAGCTAAGAGAGGTTAAAATACAGCAACCAAACGGTGCGAAGAACAACCAGAGAAACAGGGAAATTTTGAAGAAGAAAAGGAGCAGAATGAAGCGAGTTTTTTCAACTAAAAATGGGAAGAAACGTCGACTGGTTGGAAAGCACGGTGGGCTGAAAGTAGTGGCTTCCCAAGTTCCACAAAAACACGGCATGTATCTTTCGGATTTGTTTACGACAATGATTGACTCTAAATGGCGGTGGATTTGTCTAGTTTACACTTCAATGTACTGTGGTAGCTGGATTTTATTTGGTTTGTTATGGTGGCTTATAGCCTATTTACGGGGCGCCAACTTCTGCGTCGACAACGTTGACTCGTTTGCAAGCGCGTTTTTGTTCTCACTAGAAACTCAAACAACTATTGGCTACGGGGGTCGGCAAATTACTCCTGAATGCCCTGAAGCTATTGTTCTTTTGAATCTGCAATCTCTAACTGGGTTTATCATAGGTGCATTCATACTGGGTCTAATTTTTGCCAAACTTTCACGTCCGAAAAATCGTGCGGAAACTATTTTGTTCTCCCGAAACGCAGTTATTGCAGTGCGTGACGGCAAAATGTGCCTCATGTTTCGCGTCGGCGACGTCCGAAAAAGCCAGATTTTGGAAGCGCACGTTCGGGTACATCTCTTTCGCCTAAGAAGAACTAGGGAAGGAGTTGAACTGCCATTTTATCAACAGAATTTGCCTGTTGGAATCGATTGGTTATGTGAAGAAAACCAAATAGACAGTATACTATTCCTAATTCTACCGCTGACTATTGTTCACGTTATCGATGAGAACAGCCCCTTCTACGAAATGCAGCCCAAAGATTTGTGCAATTGCGACTTTGAAATCGTCGTAGTTCTCGAGGGCACTGTAGAAGCGACAAGCATGGTGGTTCAAGCAAGGACCTCATATATTGCTGAAGAAATTATTTGGGGCCATGAATTTACTAACATAACGGATCAGACCAAGTGGCGATCCGGCAAGTACAGGGTTGACTTTTCGACGTTTGACGATATCGGCCCAGTTGCCACCCCTCGAGTGTCAGCTAAGGATTACTATGAAGGAAAAATGTTAACATCAAAGTCATCCTCAGTGCTCACCATGGAAACCCAAGAGTATGCTGACGATGACTCTGACAGTCCTGTGAACATTGAGGATAAAACACTAAAAGTAAACACCCACAAAGTAGTTCCAGGAGTAGAAGTGAAGGAAGGTGATATTGTGGTTAACCTTTAAGTTTATCTTAAAATCCTTAAAATTAGTTCCCAATCAATATCCCGAAAAGTAACCTTACGTTCATGTTTGCGTCAAATGCAAAAGCGGAAAAAAAAATTGGAGCCCCAGATGGGATCTACCTTCATGTTGAAGGTTTTGCAGAATTCTATCGCAAATCCTAGTACAGCGGAACTTCGATATAACGAAGGGCCAAGGGACTGGCAAAATTTGTTTGCTATAACGAAGTTTCGTTATATTGAGGTCCGACATTGAGTTTGTTTTCATATATTTTACTTTTTCCTGACTTCGTTATTTAGAGTTTCGTTATGTGGAGGTTACACTTTAGATGATCAACGACACTCTTCTTCTCTTTCTCTCTCTCGGGGATAGGGGTCTCGAGCTCTATTAAAATCATGATGCAATCGATTCTTAACTGAATCAGTATTAGGTTGTATATGCCTTCATATTTTTAGCATAGAGGGAATAGTATTTTGTACAAATTTATTGCAAAAGCGTGACAAGTATTTTTTTTTAATTTGCATATAATTAACCAGGAGGTGAAGTGGCGCGAGACATTGTGTTGTGATACTAGATGTTGTAGAAAACAACGAAAACAAAGTTTTGAACCTGTAACGCTGAGCGGCGGAACCAGATTTAAATCAAATCTGCGTTTGTATACCTCATCATTATTTTTGTTTTTAGAAGGGCAATTATCGCGGTCAATGTGTGGTCCACACTCCCAACAATTTTCGGTTGATTTTATTGAGTGACTCGTCTTGTTTCGATTCAGTTCAGTATCGTTTTTATTCGCTGTCGAGGAAGAGCAGTGAAACAGGTATCGCCAGGTCGGAAATAACAACTAGAAGAAATAAGAAGCTATACCACCTGATATTTCAATTTTGTAATCTTGCTTTATAAAAAGATTTATGTCGTATTTCGGATATGACCTTCATAAACTAATCTGTGAAAAGGTGGCTCGCGACATTCCAGATGTTGAAGAGATTGAAACGCAAAGTAATAGTTTCAATGCGTATTGATAACTACTTTCGCCGATAGGTAACATGATACTATGTTTCAAACTTATTTTATGTTGATAAAAACTAAAACTAAAACATTTCAGACTTAGGGGGTACGTCACGCGAGCAGTAGATTGGGGCGGGAGCAACTTTATTTTTCTCGCGGCTTTGCCGCTCGTTCTCGCGCACTTCGCCCGCGAATTTAGCGGCTTCGCCACTCGTGCGCCCGACTCGACAAAACCGCCATGCTACGCAGGCTACTCGCTTCGCTACGGGCCACTCGAAATGGAGAGCTTGCTCACAGACACGTTGTTTGACGACGATTTGATCGGCAAACGGCGTTTCCTTCATTAGTCAGTTTTAGTTTGAACCTTGCAGTAAGTGAAAATAGGCAAAGTCGTTGAAAGTGCCATGATTTAGGCCCATTTGATATAATTTTCCGGCCTGTTTTACGTCAGTAGTTGTCGCTGTTGTTGTTGTTTTTTGCTTCACTAACTTGGTGCAATGATCATTGCTTGCAGACGTTAAAGCCTTGAGCAATTTGCAGCTAACCTGTAAGCCAAGTAAACTTGCCTTACGCGTTTCTCTTACTGAAGTATCGCATTGGGGAAAGTGTCATCCTCGGAGACCCAGGGGCAGTCAGTCGGGTCGAGAGAAAAGGCGCGACGAAAGTTTTCAAGCGCGGGTGGAAGAGCCCCTGCTTACCGACTCTCACCAGACCAGTTCGAAACGTTCAAGCGAATGCTGCCTCCTGATTGGGCATAAAAAATGCTTTGTATTATTGTGTCCAATCGTCGAACAGCATCTCCTGAGTTCCTTTCGTTCGATTGCAGACGACGACTATTAGGGACTATAAAATCCGAGGACTCGACGGCAGCCAAAACGTCGCTTGAAAATAAGTTTGCCTTCTCTCAGTCTTTATCTCGATTATTTCTACCCACTTACTTCGTCAAATGTAGGCGAACTCTCCAGGAGTTGAATTCCTAAGAACCGTGTCCAAGTACAGAAAGATAAATAAAATTTCGTTGTTTCTTTTTCACGTCCCCCGTAAAACGTTAATTTAGGCATTTTCACGAGTTAGTGGGACAAAAATTGCTGAGAAATGTGCTTGACGCTTTGAAAATGATCCTATGAGAGTCAGCACCCAGGACCCTTCCACACATGCTTGAAAACCTCTGTCGCGCCTTTTCTCCGGACCCGACTGACTGCCCCTGGGTCTCCGAGGATGGCAAAGTGTCTGAAATGTTTCAAAACTTGGGGACCGATTACATGACGAATTTCAGCGCGGTTTGCCGAGCTGAGGTTTCAGCCACCAGTTTGCTACCAGTTTCTCAAGAGCTTGGAAAATGAAATGTAGTGCTATATTTGTCCCAGAAGAGAATACAAGGGACAAAGAAATATATTTTTCTGTACTTAAGAAAGGTAATTATCGACATTCATTTCGAACATTGATTGTAGATTAATGTTGGAAATCATCATTGGCTTTCATTTTTGCCTTTTTGATCATTCTTGAAAGTCAAAACGAAATAATGAGGTCCTGGAGAAACTGAAATAGTTTCCGCCTGCCAATTTCAGTTTCTTGAAGAAGCGGAAACCTTTCGCGATCGTTCACTGCTCGTTCCTCGATCTCCAGCTTCTTCTCCGTCCTCCACCACCCGCACGTGGTTTTATTTTTTTCTTTCTCCCATTAGCTGCTTCCCAGTTTTGCACGGACGAGTTGTAGCCTATGAGCATAAAATTAAATTCAAAGATTATGACTTCTATTGAGCGGCCGACCCGCATTAAGCGGACACATAACAGTACCACTAGGGTGACTTTCATCTGTACGTGAATCAACGTTGAAGGTGGTTGTGGGGGTTAGGGGGGGGGGTTGAGGAAGTAACGTAGCAAGTATCTCAACTGATGTGATGACTATTGTAGTCTTCCTACAACATACTGATAACCGAAAAATATTTAAGTGGAAATTTCGATCAAGGAATCGTTTTCTGGGGATGATATTTTTACAGCGCAAAGTTATTTGTACGATATGTTCTTGATCCGCGCAAAAATAAAGTGGATACGAAGAAGTAAATTAAAAAAAAAAAAGAACGGACATGCCTGAATAGCAGAAGTAATTTGTTAATAATTTTGCTTGAGAGCCGTTTCAAGCTACTCTTTGCTATGTAATGCGAGTGCGCGAGTGATATAGTTTTGTACGGTGGATTATAAAAATCAGACAAATTACATTGTTAAAAAAAACATATAATTTGAAGTGTAAAATTAAAGAACTATCTCTGGTGAAACAAATTGTATTTTTGGAGATGAGTGCAAACTTTATTCAGTAAGGCTATTTTCAGACTATGCCGGATAGTCTTACATGTCGACACGAGAGGCTGCCGGTATAGTATGAACACCTATCCGTTAGGTGACTCTCCTCTTTAGATCTCGGCGTTGGTCTGTTTATACAGAAATCGCGCCGAAATCACTGTTCTTATGTTGAACTTTTGCCTAAATTACACGTTTATTTTCAGCATAACTTGAGATCCTGCCATAATGACAGCGATTACTACCACAATAACGCGGATGAAGCCGTAAGAACGGTTAAGTTGCCTTTATTGATGACCGTATTTACTCGAATAAGCGCCGCGGTGGTTGTTCTAAATATATTCGCACCTTAAATGCGGCGCTTATTCGAGGGCGTCTTGTTTTGAAAGTTGGACACGAGGAATAATTGTGTAAACTACGGTACCACTATTTTCCGTATGAAACTGACAGAATTAGCCTTTTTTTTTTTTTTTTTTTTTTTTAAATTTATTTTTATTTTTTTTATTATTTATTTTTGCCTTACAGACATATATTAAATGTTTACAGTACTAAACACTACTGAAACTAAATACTACTAACAATATTCACTATACTTGCACTATTTACAATATTGGCTATACTGACAATACCATCCATACGATGCTCGTACTACTAATAATTACAATGGTTACACTACTTACAATTCTAGTACATCACACACACACACACACCCCACATAAACACACACACACACACCCCACATAAACACACACACACACAAAAAAAAAAAGGTCAGAGGAGTTACTTTTCATGTCTATTTTATAGCTTTTCAATTCTGTATTTAATTATCATTTTACCAACGAAGTCTTGGAGGAGAATTGGTTTGTTGTGTAGTTTGTTGGCGTAGATGTAGTATCTCATAAACAACATGGTATAATTGAATTTCCTTACTAGTACCTTTTCATGTAAGTCCGAGAGGATGCCGAACAGTCTTTCTTCGCTAGATGGGTTGAGATTGATCTTGTTTTCTATATTGAACCAGTTGATAACCCGTTGAATGAAAATCTTGACGAAATGACAATCTCTAAAAGTATGATTAATAGAGTCTTTTTCACCACAATATATACATTCATCATCTTCCTTGATTCCATAGCGGTAAAGTTCCTTTTTGGTGACTACAATTCGGTGGATTAATTTATATTGAAATTCCTTTAATTTGGTCTCTCTACAGACGGTTTTTAGGGAGGTGAATATTTTTTCCCATTTATCTTCATCCAAGGAAAGATCTTTGCTCCATCTCTGTGGCCCAGAATGACCTGTTGTGTGGATTTTTGTGCATAATAACGTATAGAAGTCGCTAGTCTTGATTTTGTTCAGATATAGAGTTATCGATTCATTTAATTGTAGACTAAGATTATTATCAGAATATAACTCTTTATTAATTGGCTTCGTTGATTTTGCTTTGGCTAATAGGTGCTTTGGGATAGCGCTAATAACTTGATAGTATTGAAGGAAGTTAGTTTTACAGGAATACTTATTCGTAAATTCCTGATAGGTCATCGGTTGACCGGTATTGTTTAAGAGATCTTGTATTGACAGGATACCTTTTTAAACCATTCCCTGATAAAAAAGGTTTTACTGTCAACAAGTATTTCTTTGTTGTTGAATAGAATTATATTTTGTGCTTGATCAAAGCTGTACAGAGTTTTTAATTCACTGAAGTATACTAGAATATTTCGGTAAAACAATGGAATAGATTTTATGTATTTCGCATCATAGTTACATCTCAGTAAAAAGTTCAAACCTCCGAATTTTCTTAGGTAATAATCAGGAACTGTTTTCCAATTCTGGTTCCCTGGAGTCAGTAATCTTGGAATCCAGGCTAGTTTTAGAGCTTTAAACATTATGTCGATGTCTACCATACGTATTCCGCCTCTTCCCAGATCCTGATAGAGCCCAGTTCGTTTAATTTTATCCCTTTTGTTTTTCCATAAGAAACTAAAAAAACTTTGTTTTCACTGTGCTTGCGATATCTTCGGGAACATTAAGAATTGAAGCTGAATAAATTAATTGTGACAATCCTAGGGACTTAATTATCAGTACCTTCCCAAATAGTGTGAGGTCTCTAGATCTCCACATATCCAGCTTTGTTTGAAGTTTTCGTATTTTCAGATTAAAGTTCAATTCATTGTTACCCTTCTCATCATAAGAGACATGAATTCCTAAGAGGCGAGTCGGACTATGTAACCATTTTAGTTGTAAAGGATAACTTTTGTTTTTTTCCCATTTTCCCAACCAAATTGCTTTCGATTTCTTTATGTTTAACTTGAGACCCGCTAGCCTCCCAAAATCTCCCACCGTTTTCAAAGCATTTTCAACGGAGATCAAATCTGCACAGAAAAGGTTTGTGTCGTCTGCGAATTGGCTCAATTTGATTTCGTGCCCGAATATTTTGATTCCTGTTATACTTGGTTCTTGTCTGATTTTGCTGGATAATATCTCCGTGGAAAGCACAAATAAGTACGGAGAAAGGGGACACCCCTGTCGCACTCCTCTTGACGGTCTAAACCAGTTGGTCATGAAACCATTGTTTATCGCCGCGCTCTCAATTTTTCTATAGAATGTACTGATCCATCTTTTTATACTTGTTCCGAAATTGAATAGCGCCGCGGTGGTTGTTCGAAATATATTCGCACCTTAAATGCGGCGCTTATTCGAGGGCGTCTTGTTTTGAAAGTTGGACACGAGGAATAATTGTATAAACTACGGTACCACTATTTTCCGTATGAAACTGACAGAATTAGCTTCTTGATTTTGATTATAGCGGGACCGTGATGCTTACGTAAACTTTCTTGTCCCAAATGCGGTGCTTGTTCGAGGACGGCGCAAAATCGGTAAAAATACGGTAACTCACATGTAACTGCATGTTACGGCACGGTGAGCTAAAACCCAGGTAAAATTTTCAGATGCACCCAAAAAGCACGTAAATATGGAAATCCAGGAGCCATGGGAAATCCTGGAAAGCACTATTCTTTTTTTATGAAAACTGAAAACCGAAGTTCGGAAATAGGGACACAACAGGGGGTAAACTGTTCAAGAGTAAGTCTCAAGAATTAGTTTTGAAGTTCTGGGTTAATTCTTATCTACTGTATTAAGAAATTTTCTTCTTTGTAGTAGCCTGCGAATACAGCCGTCTCTCCTCGCTCGTTGCCACCGGGGACGTTTCGCGGGAAACGTGACTGGGAGTGAGGAGCGAGGAGGGATGGCTGTATTCGCAGATTGTCTTATTAGGCGAGAAACCAGAACATCAATACCTACTAAAACGGCATTGACGAGGGAAGGAAATAGTAAGAAAACATCACAAAGACATCTATTTATGAGTTATGTACACTTTTTTATGGAACTCGTGATAAATTCTTATTAAATCCTTTTAATTTGGCCTCTGTAAGTCTGTTGTGAGCCTGGTGGAACCTACCCCCCCCCCCACCCTATGATGACCCTTAGGCGTGGCACCAAGGACCTTGCAGTTTCCCTCCATTTGACTTTGTTTTAAGAGTTTGGACGTTCCTAGCCAAAACCTCAACCCTGTCTCCAGTCCAATCAGAGATTATTCTCTCAGCGCTTCTTTTGTCTTCCTTTTCTTCTCCCTCCTTGCACTGTTCCTTGTATAAAAATTGTCTTGGCAAGCCCTGCTTATCTTAATTAATAAATGCACTATCTCCAAACGTTTCTTATCGTGGTTAAGATGTCGCTACAGGGCCCAATGGCATGTCTAATTTTGTCTCTGACTGCCTCCTTCACGGTGATGTGGTCTTTACATGAGATCCCAAGTGAGTTCTCAAGCAGTTTCGTAATTGATCTCATCTCAGATCTCAGTGTCCTAAATTTTCTTCTGGAATAAATGTCCGCCGTCATTTTTGCAGTCGTACAAGAGCCTGGTGATTGTTTGTTTCAGCCAGGAGAGTTGGGCTCCTGTTTCAGCAATACGCGTATAGCCTTCCCATTTGCCCGTTCCGTCGTTTTCGAGGAAAAAGAGAAAAAGAAAAATTCCAAAGGGCAATGTGACACAGTCATGGCTGGAAATGAATCTACCTTGTCGAACTTGCAATTTTTCATTGCGTGGTTGGTAGGCATGAATAGATTGTGCTTGTAAATTCAGGAAAAGTTGCTTCACAATATACCCAAAAGTTGCTCTAAAGTTGCTCAAATATCAAAAAGTTGCCACCAAAATTTAGAAACGTTGCTTGCTCTAGAGTCGTTTTGTTTTAGATAAATACTCAAAACGTGTTTGTTTGTTTGTTGCCATTTAAACATTTTCATTAAATATTCTTACAATCATTAAAAGAGGCCGAAAGCCATTGTTATATGACAAATATATATATTATGTTGTAATCAATATACTCTTAGACTCTTACAGATATACAGATAGCCGCTGTCCAGATTTCGTGGGCTTAATGCAAGTGTTATTTTATTGTCATTTTATTGTATATCCTTAGTTTTAATAAAATCAGTTTTGATAAAACCAGTTTTAATAAAATCCTTCGAAATGAAACGACCTTTTATGGTTTGGATCGGTTTTATATCAATTTGCTCAAAAGTTGCCAAGGAAGGCAAAAGTTGCCCTAGGTTGCTGGTACTACAAAGAGTTGCTCAAAACGCTAAAAGTTGCTCAAAAGTTGCCGAGCACAGTCTATTTATGCCTAGTGGTTGGTAACCTGAGAGTTTGCAGCGGTGACTCTAGTCGACACCACGTGACTTGGCAACTTTTGTTGAGAGAGATTGGGTACAAGTTTGTTGAAAGCGTGACACTTCACTGAAGTTGAAGCACTGTCCGTATCTGCATGTAACAACACTTTATATCCAGAAATTCGGAAAACACCGTAAGACCATGGACATTCATAACTCTAACAACGCAGACGAATCGTTTGAAAGGATCGAACCATTTTCCCCTTTGACGAATTTAGTTAGTGTGCGCTCTTCAAAACGCCATGGGAATCGGTCGACATTTTCACTTCATTCGCCATGTCCAGCTTCTCCGACCATAGGTCATCACTCTTTCCTCGATCGTTCGAAGAAAACTCGCTTAGTGAACAAATATGGATCTCTAAACGTTATAGCCAAGAATGTTCCCGGGAAAGCAAAACTTTACTTTGCTGATTTGTTTACTACGATGATTGACTTTCATTGGCCGGGAGTTATGCTTGTTTTCTGCATCTCTTATGTGCTTTCGTGGGTTGTATTTGGTTTGATCTGGTGGTTGATTGTTGCAGTGAGAGGGCCATCAGTTTGTATCCAAGGGGTAATCAACAAAGAATTGTATTATTTTGTTATTTTTCTTCTTGCTAGGCTAACAAACTATTCAATTTCTTACATTTCTTTAGTTTTTATATTTAAGACTGTATAAATTATTTGAACCAAGTTAATTATTTAAGATTACTAATGTGTACTGGATTTGCCATATCCCTATGCATTAATTGTGCATCCATTTTCCTAACCACTCTCTATTCTGATCTAGCTATTGACCTATTGTTCACTGTTTGTTTATAAGGAATTTGTTATTACTTCCTCTTGCAACTCCACCATAAGATCCTCAGGAGAACTATAGTTGTTCCCCGCTATTCTTCGATCATTTTCTTTTTTCCATACACCTGTCTTTAAAAATAGTAATAATAATAATGATAATGATTCTGAGAGATATGCTGAAAACCAGAGATGCAGAAAAGACTTGGATTTGACTTAGAACATCTGAATTAAAGGTTAAAATGGAAGCCCTTATCTGTGCACTGTAGGAACAGGCTTTTAGGACTAATGTGAGAGTAACCTTTGTGTAGAATGTGTGGCAAAAAGCAACAAAGTGTGTGTTCTTTTGTAAGAGAGTGTGAAAATTTGGCCCAGAAGGATTATAAAAAAATGGCATCTTAGATTAAAATGTGGCAACAAATTTGTAAATATTGTACGTGGATATTGCTATTTCTAGAGACCATAGCCAAGGACACATGACAAAGAATTGGTGCAAGTTGAAAAATATTAGGATTTGACGAGGGAAATTAGAAGAATGTATGGTGTGAAAAATGTGGATGTGGTCAGGGTGCAAAGAAATTCAGTTTTACAGCCTGCCATTCGCGCAAGATGTAGCTAGCATGTATTAGCCCACAAGTCATTTCAACTATCCCCAAAACCCTTTTTGATTGGCAAGATTGATTACCATCCTTCTATAATTTGAATTTCCCCAAAAAATTCACTTGCCCGTTAAGTTAAGAACAGAATTCACTAGCGCGAAAGCAAAATCCACTAGCCCCGGGCTATCGGACACGACTTTCTTTGCACTCTGGTGGTGTCTGTTGTTGTAAGGGTCCTTGAGAGTATTACTAAGACACTTGGACAGTGGATTGAATAACTGGGGGTAAGGGTTAGGATTGGACTGCTACAGAAAACTACACTATTAGGGACAGTAAGGATTGCGAGGAGGGTGCTTGACTTCTAAGTACCAGGAGAGTGTGTCTAAGGGATTTCCTGGTCTTTGGTTATGACTTGCTCTCTTTGGGATTTATGTTCACATTAGAACAGCCAGAGCTCAGAGCTAAAGAGACAATAATAATAATAAGAATAAGAATAATAGTTGTTTGACCCCGTAGTTTTCATCTTTGGGAGAGTTTACCTTGGTATCAAAATACTGCGTAGATAAGAAATCATATAATACATTTAGAAATCGTTTATTGTTCCCAAAACCTGAAGAGGGGTAATATATGAAAATGTTACCAAGTATTTTTGCCTCCTTGACCTGGATTGTTCACCTTCTAGCCAAAATTCATTTTTTTTTTCCTTCAGAATCACATTTTAGGGGCTTGCAAATGTTTTAGGTGTAGTTTCCATCTTTGTTTTTGTTTTAAGTTGAGGGAGATTTTGAAGAGTGGAAAGTCCAATTCTACTTAGAAGTTACACACTGAACGTCAGTGTTTTCAGGTGCTTGTGCACCTTGAGTAAATGCCCACCTTGTAACTGCTTCCTCCTGCCCCATGATCTACAAGCTATGACGATAGGCATGCTCTTAACGGAAGCGAGCCCTTAGTCTGATGTTGGGTATTCATGTTATTTTATTAAAACGTTAATGGCTGTTTAAAATTGACTGACCAAGGGGAAGTAAAGGCAATCTAACATTACCAGTATTTGTTTTCATATAGGTTGATGACTGGACAACTGCCTTTCTGTTTTCCATTGAAACTGAGCAAACCATTGGCTATGGAAGTCGAGCAATAACACCTAAATGTCCAGAGGCAACTATTCTACTGCAAATGCAGTCTCTGGTTGGCCTAATTTTGGATGCATTCATGCTTGGTTTAACATTTGCAAAGCTTTGCCAACCTCGTGAGCGCACAAAGACGGTGATGTTTTCAGAGAATGCAGTCATCGCTTTAAGAGATAGAAAATTGTGTTTAATGTTCAGGGTTGGAGACATTCGGAAAAGCCAAATTGTTGATGCCTCAATAAGAATGCAGTTATTCAGGAGTTGGAAGACAGTGGAAGGAAGAAAGATACCTTTTTATCAAGAAGATCTCAAAGTGTGCTATGATTGGAGGAATCCAGATAATGACTTTAGAAATGAGTTGTTTTTGCTGCTACCAATGGTTATAATTCATGTTATTGATGAAAAAAGCCCCTTCTATAAAATGGGACCACAGGAACTCAGAGAATCTGACTTTGAAGTTGTTATAGTTTTAGATGGAATAGTTGAACATACAGGAATGAACACACAGCCCAAGACATCATACACTAGCGATGAGATCCTTTGGGGCTATGACTTTGAGGATGTTGTTGATAGAAATTGTCTTGATAATGGTAAATATTTTGTTGATTTTTCAAGGTTTAATGACATTTGTAAAGTTGAGGCACCTTCTTGTTGTGCAAAAGAATTTTATGAGATGGGAAAGTAGAATATGTGAACGGCCTGTGGACAAGAATCTGAAAAGGAGAACTGTGGTTTAACCCATTCGCTCCTGGAGATTTTGCCGAAAAATGCGTTTTGAAGCTAGTCGAGTGGTTTTCTGGTCACTGTCGTGCTATAAAGAGCTAAAACTTACCACAAACCGGTTTACAGGTCGTACACTTTGCGGCCGTCTGATCCAGGTGCAAAATATCAGCTTTTGAAGTTCGGGCATGCGCAGAAAGCAAAATTTCGAGATAGTTTTTGGGTTTAAAAGTGACACAGCAGTCTTGACTTTGACTTTTCGCTTTCTCTCCTCCCTTCTTTTTTCACTTTTCTCTCCTCATTTTTTTTTCTCTTGCTGGGCATTTAGTAGGCTTTATTTTGGTGGGAAGAGTTTTTAGGAAAGCTTTCAGGATCTTAGGATTAGGTGAAAGGAAAGGTAGGTGGGTAATGGACCAAGATTTTCATGGAGATTTTCAGGTCAATGTCACATGGTTTTCTGCTTCTTTCTCCGGTGTCCTTGACTGAATTGCGCTCATTCTGGTATGGTTTGAAAGATCTCTTCCCTCTGCACAAGTTAGTGAAGAAAGTTGTCCTTGACCGTTAAAACTGATGACGTCACAAAGGGTAGAAAGGACCTGGATCCGCACGGGCGGTTACGGGTGGTTCAGGGGCAAATGGGTTAAAATTAAATAAAACAAAGTGTTATTAAAATAAAAAATTAATATATTTCTTGTATAATTTAGAAACATCTTTGGCTTCATGTTCATAGGTTTTTGATGTCTTTTATAAAAATGTGTTCAGAATTATACTATCATTTGCCTCTACTTCTTAAAGCTTCATACTGATTAATTAATTATTGATGTATGTAACTTTTTTCAAAAGATACAAAGATATTGGGAGATTTCAACTTATATTTTCTTTATATTCATTTCCTTGAGCTTATTTCTCACAAAGTTGTTATTTTTTAAATTTTATGATAATAATAATAATAAAATATAATAATAATTACTATAGTTGTTACTGTTATGTTACTGTAAAATTCCGAAAATAAGCCCCGGGGCTTGTATTTTTGAAAGGCCCTTTTTGAGGGGCTTATTTTTGGAGGGGGTTATATACGGAGGGATATTTGCGTTTCAAAATCGATTGGGCTAGCCTTATAGTTCGAAGTAAATGCACCAT